CATACAAATGGGATCTATTTTTCTAAAACAAACTTTACAAAGATGTCCATTTTCTCCAAAGTAAAAATGGACGAACTAATGGCTAGGAAACCACCAAAGTTATAACATGCATCTTGTTTCTTGAAGGTTGTCCATTTTCTCTCAAATAAAAAACAATTGGGAATTCGATAATTTCTTTCTGCACATTAGAGTACAGCATTCTACTCCTTGCCACCTGCTCTTTTTATCGCTTGATGGGCTAACATGTACGAAATTCTACTGGTTCGTGGCTTTTCAAAAGATGTAATCCCCAAACAGCTAGGACTGATCAGAGCAGCTGTAAAGAGATGCTCAATCTAAAATTACCCGAGTGAAAGAGTCCCCTGTGAGGTCCGAAGAGTGCCCTTTCTTGTTATTAGATATCAGCAAAAGCATTAATTACTCAGGGCCTACTTATAATCTGATCCATTAACGCTAGCGAATTATAACATGAAGTAAACCGTTTGATATTTTAAAAAAAAATTAATGGATAATACATTACTACTGAAATAAAGAATTATCATACTAAATTATTTTAATTCAATATAGTTCCACTTAAAACTTTAAAGAAATTTTTTTTTAGTGTTCGCCAAGAATTCCGACATTTAGTGTAGTTAGTATCTTTGTTGATTCGGTCTATCTATCCATCTGATTTTTGTATTCCCACATCGTTCCTTGCCAATTATTGTAGAAGCTTCTTGATGAATTGCTCCAAACTATCTATTTTACCTCCTCGCCTTCATATCATGAAATATTGATTGACCAGTATCTGTAAGCAGTTGTTTATTGGCCCTTCTCCCCCATGTTTTAGTACTCTGATCTCTGATCGCTCAGCTTATCGTGCGAAGCACTAGCGGATCCAGGATTTAATTTTTGAGGGGGGGCTTCAGTCCGAAAACGTTTTTTTTTTTCATATATATGTATAAAACGATAATTAATTTGAAAAAAAATAAAGAAATTAACTATCTATATTGAATGGTGTTTAAGTGGTTCTTGAAGTTCTACTAAATGTTACATGTTAAATGTTAACTGTTAAATTAAATGTTAAATGTTACATGAACAAGAATATTTTAAGAGATAGTTTTTGATATTTTTTTGTAAAATGTTGTTATATTTTTCCCTTTTTGGGGAGGGGGGATGCTTCAGCCCTAAAGCTTCTTCCTCTCCCTTCTCTCCTCTCCCCCTCCCGTAGATCCGCCTGTGGTGCAAATTAACCTAAAATTACTATTTAAAAAAAAATAAACATCCACTTTGCTCGACCATAAGAGTATGGTAGCCTAAGGCCGCGCAAATAAAGTTAGTTTCTATATTATGAACCATACGGGGACGAATTGGTAAATCTTTACCCTCATATGTGGCTGTAGATATCACAATAAAAGGCTTAGTGAATCCAAAGGTTCATTACTGACACCACCAATCGCTGTCTACACATCCACCGGTCGCCATCTAAACCCAGATCAGCCTTAGCGCAATCCTCCCACCTTCGCTTCGGTCTACCCCTCGGACATTCACCAGTTGGCTCAGCAAATATTAGCCTGTTATGGATTCTTTCGTTACTAAGCCCAATTATGTTACACGCCCATTTTATTCGCCGCATTGTTATAACCTCAATTATATTAACCGGGTACAGTTCACGTAATTTGATGTTGTTTAACTGTAACTCATCCTTCGGTCCGAATATTCTACGCAATAGATACTTTATTTTCAAAAACCTTAAAACGTTGCTCATCTCTTAACGTAAGTGGCCAAGTTTAACATCCATAAAGAACCTTAGGTAGTATAATCTTTTTGTAAATTATACGTGGTACTACAATTAAAATATAAAATTTGTTCGCTGTCAAAAAGTTAAAAAATAATTTCTAAAACAATACAATAAAAACAATTTTCGATACTGAGGATTATTTAACCACCCGCATCATGACCGGTAGTAACAAATCAAAAATGCTTTCTAGAACCTTACTAATTTTTGTTACGAACGAATAAACAAGTTTTAATTGTAGATTGATGGTTGATTGTAGTGAACAATTGAAGATAAGAATGGTTTGGGTGATCAGTAAAAAAAAAATAAAATAAAAAATAAAATAAAATAAAAAAATAATAAATAAATTAATTTGCCGACGTTTCGGTCCAAAGTTCAGGCTTTCATCAGGGCTGGACAAACGAATTTGTCATCAAACAAGTTTTAAATTTCATTTCTAGTGCACCCTTTTATTTATTTTATTTGAATCATCATAATGTGAATCCAAATTTAATTATTACTCAATAATTAAAATAAAAGTTAAAAAACCTCTTGGTTCTTTCTTGAGATGGAGATAGCTCTTTTCAAAACCATCCAAATATATCAACAATATTTCAATTACTATGGATGTGAAAATAATTGCTTAAAAAATATTTACTTCTAAAAATATGTTTGCCATTCTAATACCCTTTAAGGAAAAAGACAAATGATCAACATCAAGGAGAAATCTGCCGCCAAAATAATAAAGGCGTTGAATTCCCAACTTCAGGGAAAATATCTGGCGGATCAAGATGTTACTGTCCCATTAAGATGTAACCATTACTGAAAGAAACAATTTCTAATCAACTGCTGTAACCAGGACGTGTTGTTTCGGACAGCACCATTTTGATATACTGTTCCTTTTTTTATATCAGTTTTATGGATAAACGCTAAACATTACACAAAACGTTAATTAAACGAGGTGTGAAACGAGAAGCGAAAAATATAGGGCCATTATTGTGGCAGTACAAGATCGATCGGACGGAAAGTGGAATGCCTATTTCCTTCCGTCGAGGCAAACACGAGAGGAGAGCCTTAGATCAGAAATAAAAATAAACAATGGCCAACTGTAAACAGAAAACAGGTTATTTTGCAAACTTCTTCGATAACAAGATCATATATTTGAAAACTTAGGAAAATAAATAAGGGACAAAAAATAAATAGTACCAACTCAGTTTCACTGATTCAGTGTGCCTTGCAATATTTTCGGTATTTTAATATGGTGTTGTTAAAAATAGTATTATTTTTTTGTTTCGCAAAATAGTATGTTCAATATCTGTATTTACAATAACCTTTCTTATTTTCCAGGCAATAAAAACCATTTTTTTTTCCTTCTGAAAAATTCCTTTTAATTTTGAAGAAGTATCTGATAGTTCTGACAAAGATTTATAAAATTTGAACTTTTATTGATTCTGTCCATACCTTAGTTGCTCCAAATCCTCTTTCAATTCATAAATAACAGTACTTGAATAAAATGATTTTTATAAAATATAAACACTCTAGTAACTATCAAATATAGTATGAAAGACAACATTTTAAAACATTAATTTATTAATCACAAAAATATAATTCATCCTTTAAAAAAATAAACAAATATCCTTTTACCAATAAATTTCATACCTTAATTCTTTGTGCGGATTAGTACAATTTTTTTATATCCGCAAAAGTTGTTTCTTTGTTGGAAAGATAAATAACTCATCACTAACAGGCACTTGTGAATAAGCCTTGTTTGATTTGAGCTTACATCACAATGTACGTACATTCTTATGAAAGAATATATTTTTGGAAACATTTGTGCAGTTTCCTGACAAACAATAAACATCCTTGGATGAGTCAGCGTTCTTTATTAAAATACAGGTCATTATTCTGGAACAGTCTTTTCTCTTAATGTTTTCCTGTCTTCAATTGTTTACTTGAATCATAATTTTCCAAAAAAAAAAAATCTCACAGAACTGTTGGAATGAACAATGGTTGGTTATTCAAGTACTGAATAAGAGACCAAATGTCTTTCTTACAAAAATAATATATACTTTGGTCCAATACAATTTCATTAACTATGAGGAAAAAACCTTTTTTTTTATTCTTGAAATTTACAACTGTATAAAAATAAATATATATCCAGTAAATGTGATACAGAGAAATACGATGGCATGAAAACACTTGTAGAGAATCTACCTGATGGTAGCGTTCTATGAAAAAATATAGAAGGCTAAAAAATATAGAAAGATGGAAGGCTATTTTTCCATTAATTATCAGATATATTTAAACCATATCATAGATTTGGGGCAGGAAGGTATTGGAAAGCGATAACCTAAGAAAGATCATTTAACAAAATGTAACATATGAAACGATCATTTTGAAAACTGTTCTTAAACATTTTTTTCTTTTATAATAGCAGTAGGTACAACAAATTAATTCAAATAGGATTAATGCATGGAAAATCAAAAACTATATTATTTAATTTACAAAAGTATTTTTTTTTTTTTAAATTGACTTATTAATAATTAAAATATCTCACAAAATATACAAATGAGTAATGGTGGGGAAGGGTTTCCCATACCTCGATATAATATTAATAAATATTTGAATTATATATTTTTCACAATATTATCCCTCATTACAAGGGAATTTATAGCTCATTACAGCTATAAATAGAACATTGAAGGGAAGAATCTGAATTAATCTCCAATATTATAATTATTTGGGTAATTACATTTAGTGACAGGAAACTGGTTTAATTATGCTTTACTTAATAAAATTTTAAACGATCATTAATCAAAATATAAAATATTACTTAAAGATCAATTATACCGATTGACTAAAAGTATTATTCATGAAGCCTTCAGGTATAATAATTTTTCATTTAAAATCATGGGAAAAGCTTGGTGTTTTATGTAATTTCTATCAATATATTTACAAACCCTATTCTTAGAATTTATGAATAACTAAACCAAAACTTTTTATCGTTTTTTTTTTTTTTTTTTTTTTTTTTTTTTCTTTCAACAGATTACAATTAAGAACTTAATGTTCAGTCGCTAACATTCGATGCTCTGAACTCAACTTTTTTTTCAGTATAGTATTTACTTTGAAGATAGTGTAAATCACTAAATATTATACCTGTTAAATGCAAGATTCAATAACATCAAACCAATTTAATAATTTTTTTAAAGATGTTATAAGAGCTCATATTGTTTACTTTTTGCAGACACATTATGAAGAAGGGCCACTAGAGCTTGTAAATAAGAAAACAACGGTCACAACCAACACTTCTGACTCCAACGTCATCACAATAGAAATCAGCACAGAACCTCAGAGCAAAGTGATGCTGACAACACCCAAACAACAAAAAAACAATTCACCATTCACCATAGAAAACCTCATCAAGACAAGTGACTCCAAACTACAGACAGCTCAATGAGCTTTCGAAGACTTTAATTGTGTAGATTAGTGAACTTAAATGTTTACCTCCTACCATTTATGCTTTTTAAATTGTACATATATTTTTTTTTATACATTTTATGTTCTTTATTTATATGTAAATAGATAGTTGTATATAGTTAAGTGTTACTATTAAGAGCAGTTTTAAATAAATATATTTTTGTTTAAACAGCATAATGCAAATTGGCAAAAATATTTGTAATCACCTCTTTAATGCTACAGAAAAATTTACTTTCAAAATTCAATCTCGTAGAGTTATATTTAAGTTTGATTATTTGTTCTATGTAAATGAATTTAGAACCAAAGATATAAACATATAAACTGTAGTAAATAATTTGAAAAATCAATAAATTATTTTCCATTTGTTTAATAATTCCAGTATATGATTAAATATACTGAAAAACAAAATGTAATTAGTATGGAAATACATATTTTTAGGAATACAAGTATTATTTGCTATAATATAACAAAATTACAACAAAAACATGACACAATTTTTGCATACTTGTAATTTTGAATAACATCAGGCTAATTTTTACATTTTTAATCAATATTTTTATCAAGACCTTAAGTATCTAGATGACTCGATCACAAGATACAGCTTAGTAAACAAATTTTGCATATTACAAACATATTCTATTATTTTTAGCCATTATCATCAAGATATTTAAGAGTCACAACAGTCCCTCCTACTTTATGTTACAAATGTAATTTGTGACACAGTCATTAAGGAAAAGAAAGGGTTCTATTATCTGCTTGTCATATACATCAACAAACAACCACAGAGTCAGTATGCTATATACAGATACAGATTTTCAAACTTGATAGTGTTCATTGGTTTTTATGATACTTAATACATCAATGTAATTTCACATGAATATTTTTTTTTACTTTTTTTTTAAAATACTCTCAATTCGTATAAATTTACATGAGCAATAACTCATCTATAGTTCAGATTATTTGATACTTGAAATTATATAAGGAAATATTTATTAAATTAGTCTACTATCAATATACCTGATAGAAAAACAAATTTATAAATATATATAAAATGATTCTTGTTCAACCAAACACTTAAAATAACTAGATTTTATGAAGTATGGATAAAATTGAAAAATTAAATATGCAATATAATAATGAATTAATTGTTATATCATATTTGAAAATAATCCAGTCTTCTATCAAGAATCTTACATCATAAAGAGAAAATCATTTCAAATATACAATTAGGAAGGTTATTAAAATATTGATATCACTGAAATTATTAAGTAAAAATTTAATAAGGATAAAGTAACCTATGTCAGAAAGGAACAAAAATTAAGAAACATCGAGAGGAAGACAGTTATCGGCATGGCAAGGATGGAGGTTGAATAGCTGTGAATAAAAAGGTTCTCGGAAGGATCAAGGAAGACATAAATAGTCTGTAAATGTAACTCATGGCTTAGATAATAATCTCCCCCTCCCCCATAAGTAGTCATTGAAAGGACTCGATATTTTATGTAAGTCACATCTTAGAGCAACTGTTTCACATCAGGGTCAATGGCAAAGGATAATATTGATTGATACATTACAAATAATTTATCACCATTATCAACTGCCTTAAAACCACTGCAACATAACAACTTTTTATGATTAATGGGGGCACTATAAAACTACAAATCTTCCTCACCTGCAGTAGTGACGAAGCAAAAAGTCAATTACAAGTATTTTTTTCAACCATTATATATATAAAAAAATATTTTTATTGTTATTACTCCTATAAATTATATTTAATTATTATTTTTTTAAATAAAGGAAGAACAGATATCCTAAATTTGTCTAGGAGATACTTGAACATCAATCAATATTTTCTAAGTAGGTACTTACCTATTCTATTTAGGTTGAAAATGGAAACAAATCAACAGGATATGTACAAAGTCCATACAATATTAGAAGCCACTTATATTTAAAAAAAAATGGTGTTTTTACATTAAAAAAATGTAAAAAGGTTTGAATTCATGAATAGTGAGGTCCTACTAAGTCTCTAATAACAGTTCCTTTCTGTATTTAGATCCAGGCTAAAGGACTAAAAGTGAGAAAAGAAGTTTAGGAAATTACAAACTAATAAATGTTAAGAAAATGTAAACAATCTGTAAGATTTAGAATATTACTTTAAATTTGTGTCCATAAAAGACTAAAGAAAATGGAAACTTACATTTCGGTTCTGTACATCAAATCATTTATAATTATTAACAAACTTTGGTTTTATGTGGTGGCATAGATATTTAATTTATGTTTATACTAAAATTCTCAATTATAGGCTAATGTATTTTTTTTATGCTATTTCTGTCTCAAACATCACGTCCTTGGTTCTAACAGTAATGGTTAATCGAGGTTTACTGAATAAATTAAACAACTAGATCCAAGAAAAATAATAAATAAAAAAATGAATGTTTGACAAATCAGTAACATAAATTAGCTCAGATGAAGTATAGTAATTGAGTGTCCTCATATCAAAGAAATCTGTCATTTTAAGAAAGTGCATAAAAACTCAATATTTTTTTTATAGGTTCAACTCAAACTGTTTCTCATGACTTTATTTAAGAATCTTCAAGTTTAATCATCATAGAAAATCATCAGAAACAGTTTAACCTACAAATCAAAAATTGGCTTTTCCCAACATTTTAAAAATGATAGATGTCCATCTTTATACGATGGACTCAGATATTTAATAGATTTATTTAGTTATTTTCCACATTCCATTTCTATAGAATAATGTGTCAGTTTATCTTTATTTAATATCACATTAGTAAAATTTCTCTCTGGGAAATGAAATATTTTGACTTGCTCCACCACCCACACAATAGCTTCATTAATGATTACTAAATTGTATTTGGAGATTAATGCATTTGTAATTTAAAATAAAGATTAATATAAAAGAAATATGGGTTGGAATCTAATTGTTAAAACATAATTACCTTAACCATTTATATCATCTCCTCATTTTTGTATTAAGCTATTCTGTTATTTTTTTATATAAATAAGTTTCAAAAGAATGGCTAATTGTCACATTCAGGCATAGAAATTAATGTATATATTAAAATTTTCATTTCCACAACTTAAGTAGAATCAGTCTCAACAAAATTTTGTGTCGCTTACATACACCACATTTACAGTTACATTGAATCCAAAAAAGTAATTTAAAAAAATTCTATGGGCATGATTATTAACAATTTCAAAGGATCTCTTGTCCTTATAAATTAGTGTGTTAACAAAAATGCAGCACTTAGTTCATAGACTTAAAAAAGTGTTTTAAAATAAAATATCATCTTAAAAATCTTTATAAGTTTCGACAACAAAGCTATATTCTTCACAAGCCATGGTAAATAATAAAGTATAACCTAAAATAAAGGATTCAAAAAAGGTTTTAATTTATGTATAATGAGGTCTTAACCAAGTTTCTAATAACAAAGTTCCTTTCTGTACTTAGATCCAGCACCCAAAATAAAACCCTGAATATTTGGTTTAAATTCTCAAATATATATTTATTAAAAATATACATCAAAATATAAATCTTTTATCATAAAATGGAGACCCATTAGGGAATGTACAACCAAAAATTTAATTTTTTACTGATTTTATTTTTTACAAAAAGCAATAAAATACAATACTTAACAATCAAATGTAAATTCAAAATAAGAAGGATCAAAGTAATGAACTCTAACGTAACCATCCTCTCCTCCGCTGGCATAGGATCTGCCGTCTGGATGAAATGCAAGCGAATTAATAGGACCAAAATGTCCTTTTACTCTACCAAACTCTTCTTCAAAAACCATGTGATAAAACCTTGCATCGAATTTTCCTACTCTTGTCGATGTAGTTGTTACAACTGAAGCTTCCTGACCACCGCCAAGAACAACCTAAAAATTATCAAAAATTTACATGAAAATTTATTTTCTTAATAATGAATTAGTTTTGAATGATTTAGCTCTAAATGTTAAATAAGTACGCATTAATTAAACAGACTAATATATCACAAAAACATTGTAGAAGGAATATCAATAAAATACCTTCAAATGGCATAAGATAAAAAATAAAAATTAAATTATTTAACCCTCCAAAATTCGAACAAACTCGTTTTCCAATTTATCTGTTCCTTAATATCAGTAACCTTAGATATGAACTGTTTACAGGCAAAGTGCTAAAAGAGCTGGAAATTTGTAGAAATTAGAAAATTCTTAATTTTTTTTTTTTATCATGCAAAGCGATCTAAAATGGAAACAATCACTAATACAGTACATTATAATTATAGTTTTAAAAAATTCCCTTGTAGTTCAAATGCTAGAATGTAGGTTGTACTGAAATTAACAACCACAGCCCATTTCCCTCAAAGTGATTTATAACTATATCAAGTGATATTAAAATCACTTTGTGCATAACAAATAGTTCATATGTAACGCTGGCCTTAACTCCCCTCAATATTTAAAAATTCGTGAATGGTGGAAATAGCACGATTCTTTGATGGATAATAGATCGAGAAGAATTGAGAATTTGACTGTGTTAATAATGCATAGCACATTTCAGGATTTTTTGAACCATAAAAATTAAGTACTGACTATAATAATCTTACAGACCAAACAACCTAACTTTTTCAGTAATTTGAGGGACAACAGAAAAAATAACAAAAGAAATTTTGTAGTCTACGAGGACATGGAATGAAACTAATTAAAAAAACAAATGAACATAGGCTGATTTTGTAAATAGTTGTAAAAAAAATTAATTAAAGTTATACTAACATGATCTAATATAGGTGAGATTGATGCACTATTAACAGGTCGTTCAGTAACATAGGTTTTAAGATTTAACAACTGTTCAGTATCAAAGAGTTTGGATGTGTGATCGCTAGATGCGGTAATGAACATCATTCCCTCTTTGGAAGGTTGCATGTCATTAATAGAACCAGAATGACCATCGATCTGGTTCAACTGTTTTCCAGTCTAAGAGAAAAAAAAGATAAAAACAAAATTAAAACAATATTTTTTGAAAAACATTAAACAAAATTAAATTTTAAAAAATTGCACACCCTCATATCCCATTGAGTAATTTTTCCGTTTTCATGTCCAGTGACGACCATTTCGTCCAGAGGGCCCCAAAATAATGCCGTCACCTTTGACTCTGGTACTGGTATACACAGTATTGGTTCGGAACCTATACAACAAACAAAATTATTAATAAGCAATAAAAACTTTCTAATTATAACTGAATCTTTTGCTGACAATATGATATAAATATTCTTTTATACTTATTCTCTCATAAAATTAAAACATATTTGAAGTGTGATTGTATGTGACTAATTAGTATATTATTTTGTTATTTAATCTTTATTTATTTTCAGGGAAGAATCCAATACAAATAGAGTTTATCTTTGTATGACAAACACTCTTTTGGTATTACAATTGTTTTTTCTTTTTTCATTTATATACTACATTACAATAATATTACTACAAAAATCATTTAAAAAAACATGTTGGGTAAAAAGTCAGATAGTTAAAATAATGCCAATCATCAACAATAATATAAAAACTCCCGTCAAAACACACACACACATACAATATTCATAAATACATTTTATTTTTAAATATAAATAATAAATTATGTTTTAAAAATTCAACTAAAAGATTACTCGCATGAACGAAGAAAACAAACAAATAATATTCGAGGACAATATTCCAAATTATCTCACCAATTCTCTATAATTTAATATATTATCGAGTTTGCCATCATGGACTTCAAGAACTGTAAAGCTCCCGATGAGGACAGGATAGTTGCGGAATTGATTAAATTCTGCAGTGGTAAAATGAAGGCCTTAATATATGAGTTGATATGTGACGTATGGAGAGAGAAAAAGATGCCAGATGATTGGAGGATTGGATTAATATGTCCTATTCTTAAAAAAAGAAGCAAGGATCAGTGCACAAATTATAGAGGAATAACCCTATTGGGAGTCCTGTATAAACTGCTTTCTAGTTTAATATTGAAAAGGCCGCAGAAATATGCTGAGGATATTTTAGAAGATTACCAGTGTGGTTTTAGAGCTGGCCGTGGTACTACAGATCAGATTTTTGTTATAAGACAAATTATGGAAAAATGCTACGAGTATGACATTGATCTGCACTTGTTATTCGTTGACTACAAGCAGGCATTTGACAGCAACAAGAGATCAGCTCTGTTAATTGGAGTACCACATAAACTAATTAATTTAATACGCATGACCATGGAAAATGTATCATCCAAAGTTATTAATGGAAATAAAGTTGGTCGATTGTTCGAGGTACAGTCTGGAGTGCGTCAAGGAGATGCCTTATTGGCAACACTGTTTAACATAGCTTTGCATGCTGCTGTGAAAGATGCAGCTAAAAAAGGCACAATCCTTGATAAGACCTGGCAAATTTGTTCTTATGCAGATGACCTGGTGATAGCTGCACGAAGTGAAAAGGCGCTTAAAGAAGCATTTGAGATTGTGTACGAAAATGGCAACAAAGTAGGACTTGCGGTCAATGAAAACAAAACTAAATACTTGAAACTGTCCTCGGCAGCAAGTAGAAGATCCTGCAATGAAATCACAATAAAGAATTTTAAGTTCGAAAATGTACCCACATTCGTATATCTTGGTTCTGCCCTAAATAATGAAAATGTAATCAGCAGAAAAATAGACAACAGAATAAGGGCTGGTAATAGAGCTTACTATGCAAACCTAAAACTTCTCAAAGTCTCCATTGTTGTCAAAAGCAACAAAATAAAGCTGTATAAAATGTTTATTAGACCAATAGTCACCTATGGAGCGGAAACCTGGTGTTTATCGCAAGAGGATTGCCGTAAACTAAAAGTAGTCGAAAGGAAAATAATAAGAAGGATTTATGGTGCTACAAGCGTTAATGGTGAGTGGAAAATCAAAAGTAACAATGAAATCGAGGTTATACTATAAAATCAAAACATTACTAACTATATCAAGGCAAGTAGGCTGAAATGGACTGGACATGTGGTCAGAATGGAGAATGAACGGGTTCAGATGAAAATATTGGAAGCACACTTCAGTGGGAATAGGAAAAGAGGAAGACCAAGAAGCAGATGGAAGAATGAAGTGGAGAGAGATGCAAAGAAGTTAGGAGTTCGCAATTGGAAGAGAGTAGCACAGGACAGAGAGAAGTGGAGAAAAATCACTCAGGAGGCCAAGGGTCATGCTGGCCTGTAGCACCGGGGAGTTAGTTAGTTGATATATCAGAAATGAAAAAATATAATTTTCTCATATCTTCTATAGTGGTAGCCTCAAATATTTTGGTCCCATTAAGATTACCCATATCCTGGTAAATTTTTACTCTTCTGGTATATTTCAAGTTAGTCGGCATCAATAAATACTGAGAGATCTGATGATTGTAAAAAAAAAGATTCAAATGTTCACTATAAGCTGAGCTATGCGATGTTTTCTTGTCACCCTCCTGCAAATGTTATTTATATTTATTTTATATCCTGTCGATATTTGCTCTGATTATGGCTGAATTGGTTTCATAAACATTACCACCTTCACCAATAGCATCTAACAATACTTTCAGCTAAGCACACCAATTATATTTCAAGAGAGCAGCATTAGATTGATAACATTTGTTTCTTAGCTTTTCGAAACCTTTTTTTAAGGTGTCTAAATTCCTCCATTTCCACAACCAACCAATTCAAGGTACATTTCATAACATTGAAACAAATATGAATTGACGCTGTTTCTAAGCGTATTATAAAGTTTGGGGTGTTGACTAATTAGTATTAATGGATTCATAACAAACTTCTTCACAAATGAAGTTTCAACCAAATTTTTAAAGCTTTTCTCTGTAAATCTTCCACATGAATCCATCTCTCTTAAGTGTCCATAATACTCTAATGTCCTCTTTTAAATCACTTCTAAGATATGTCTTTTTATTTCCATTCTTTTTCTGATTTCATTATTCTCAAAAATCCTGACAAACCTCCAGAAGTCCATCTCCACTATTACAAATCTTAATTCTTGTACTGTGTTAAGGGTTCAAGTAATTCAGCACTATGAGTAGCTTACAGCCTACTTATAACAATTGTAATATATATCATTCATGGTATTGCAAAGGATACTACAGACAGCTCCAGAGGATTCAGTAATATTAAATGATAAATTAAAATAGGTATGGTATATTTTATTTTTTATCACCAATCTTTTATATTGGACAATCATTGAAAAAAATTAAGCGTACAACATTAAAATAATCATTGTCTTTTAAAGGACACTCAGAACAAGAAAATGCAAAGGACTAGTAACAAAATAATAATAATTTTGGCAATCAAGCCTAAAATGATCAAATGGATACTAAACTAAAGATTTATTAAAAAGCATATGGAGAGCTTTGAACTTGGAGAACCCAATTTACTTTATTTCTTCAAATCCTCAGAGATCGGGTAACAATAATAAGATCTAGTTATTGTATCAATGAATATTAAGTCATAACACACATGGGCACATCTCCCAAATTTCCCGTCGCACTATCTCTACCCTGAAACAGTTTAACCTTCTCCGCTATCTCCTTCCATATAAATCCCGTCAACTCCTGGTTTCCTCCCTTGTGTTCCCCCACTTCGACTATGGCTGTCTGGTGTACGGCGGACACTCGGGAGAATTCGAGGCCGAACTTAAACGCCTAATGAACTGCGCAATACGTTTTGTTTTCGGAATCTCAAGAGATACGCATATAACCCAGTATTACACCAAGTTGAAGTGGCTCTATCCATCCAACCGCCGTCTGTACTTCCTTGCTACCTTTCTATACCAAGTCATCAGAACTCAGTGGCCTTCCTATATTTTTCACAACCTACAATTCAAATATTCCATTCAATACCGTCTCACTAGATCTCGTACCTCCGACCTCTATCCACCTCCCCACCGAACTGCAGCGTTTGACAAATCCTTTATAATTCAAGCCGTCTCCTGGAATATCATCCCTCCCAATATCCGACATGTACAATCAGTTTCCTCATTTAAATCTCTTCTTTTTAACCACCTACTCCATTCCCAACCCGATTGATCATGAAATGTAGATAAGAGAACTTTTAAAGTTCCCCCAAAAATGATTTTCTTTACTTATGCTATTTTATTTTCCCACGTTTGTATTATGCATATCAGTATGTTTTTAGTTTAATAGTTCTATTTTTTGTTTTATTCTTTTTTCAAAATCTTAATCTTAATAATAATTGTAAATAATTAATTTTATGTATGGCCACACAGGCATTTATTCTGTATCTGTAATTTGTCCTAAAGGGACAACAGTCCCAGGATAATAAAAAAATATTTTCATTTCATTTCATAACAAACCTTAGTTAATCATCCTTCATCATATGAAAAAAAAAAAAACATATTGTTGCATATAAAAAAGGCTCGTCAGTCAAGTTAAAACTACTAATATTTCAGACATAAAATATGTATTAAATACAAAATATAAGATACAAAGTGTAATACTGAACTACACTAAGAATATAATAGATATATGTTTTAAACTTGATTTATTTACAATGCTTTAAATAAATGGGAAACAATTATAAAATCAGAATGACAAAATAGTAACTTACCAAACGAGTCACTAATCCTACAGTCAATTACATTGATTTCACAAATTTGTTTCCTCTGAGTATCAGTGGAATAAGCAGCCAAGTTGCCTGAATAACTGAAGACACATGTCCTCACAGTTGATTTGGTGTTAATATTTCCAATCTCTACACCTAAGAAGAACACACTAATTATAAAATAATCTTAACAAAATGGATATAATATTAGAGTTTCACCACAGAGCTACGGGGTAAGTAAAAATAAAAACAAAATAAAGTAAGATAATAACAACAAATATATTAGTGGTTACAGACAGCTTTATCTAAAACCATTTCAACTAATGGCGAAATATTAGATTTAGAAGAAATCCTATTACTTCTCACCTAAGATTACCGGGACAAATGAACAAACCATAAAGTACAAATTCATTTTATGTTTTTCAAATACAATACCTTCTACAACAAACAAATTAAGATCAATAAGAATAATTTACCAATTATCAATTTAACTTATAAAAAACAGATAAATGAAATCCATAGATAGGCTATAAATTGAATTCTAAACAGTATAATAAATTAACGGAATTGGATTTGGTAAATTAATCATAATTTCAAACTTATTTAAACAATAAATATCTTAATTACCAACCATTAGAACAGTCCCATAATTTTAGGGTGTTATCAGCAGCACCAGACATAAATTTAGTGCTTTCCCAGTTGATGTCAAGACACCATACAGCACCAATATGTCCAATGAAGTTACCTAGCCTTTCGCCATTAAGAGAATACCAAACATTAGGACAGTGATCTTTGGCTGAAGAGAATAATAAGTCTCCTTCTCTATTGTACTTGATTTGGGTGATGGCCCTTTCATGGCCGTGTAACATTAAAGGTTTCTGAAATAAATAAAAAAGACACACAAAACAAATTAACACTCTATTCAATGAAATTACTTAATAATTAGTAAAAAGTGTAACATGAAAATTTACCATATCTGAAAGAATTAGTTTGAACAGAACTGTAAGAAATAAATATAACCTATAAGAGAAGGTTTACGAGAAACGTGACTTCCAAGTACCAATGAGATAAAGCGTCTCTTAAACAGCGACATCAGAAACATCTAGATACGTAATAAAACATGTTAAAATGATGATATGACAAATCCAATAAATCGGTTTAAGTTTCAATAAAATACTGTATCAGTATTAATATAATTTTAAATGATCGAATGGGTTGTAGCAGAGTCTACTAATGAGGGATTGTTAGGTAAAACTGGCTGTTTTCTGACATTTAAGTAAAATTCAAATAAACCACGCAACTTCCATTTTTTTCGATTACAACATCACTGCTAAACAATGTGAATTAGGTTTTGGTAATATCTCATTCTTTTTCTTGAAGCATCCACCATTCCTTATGTCATGCAGCTTGGTCATGTATTCCTCAATTTCCTCGAACCTGTGCTTAATTAATTTTCCTGCGATTTTGTTACCAATCGTTTAGCTTTATGAAGTGGCCATATCATTTCATCTTTCAAATGCGGGTATTAATACTGACGGTTCAGTGCTTAAATTGTGGTAATTTTCACTCCATCTCATTAAGGCATTTTCTCCAAGTTTCTGATGTACCACATTACTTACTGGGATAACTTTGACTACAGTATTTCATATTATCAATACCAGGGATATTTTACTTAGCGGGACAAAATAAAAAATCGCTGCAAATTATTTCACAAAAGTTTATTATTTCCAAATAACTATACATCTAAAGTAACATTACCTTCCTAGTTACAAAGAAAAATAAATAAAATGTGATTCCAATTATTATACTAAACATTTTTTTTAATCATTAGTAATATGCTAAAAAAAAAAATAGAATTACTTCAGTAACATATTCAAAATTTAAAAACCAAACAAAGGATATTACATTTAGAGTAGAACATATTTAAAAAAAACTGGAGACCATATCTTTTCTCCTAATTGTCCGATTTTAACGATTTTTATATTTTTTATTTAGGAGATTCCGTAAACTTTTAAAAAACCATCGGTACATTCGTTTAGGAGCTACAGTCTATAGCAACGCAGGTTTTTCGGGCGCCATTTTGAAAGTAAAAGGCGGGTAATAATGTCGATGAAGGAGGATCATCCTCGGATGACCTCTGATTTTATATCCAAATTTGAAAAAAATCGGTCCAGTAGTTTCGTAGAAAATGCGCGGACGGCGGACGGACAAAAAAAAATTTTATTCGTTTTTCGTGTTCAACGCATCCTGAAACGTGAAACCTCAAATTTTGAGAGGGGGTCAAGTTTTTGAATTTTTTGGTAGATCACAATGGTTGATTATTGAAAATTGCGCAGGGTTGAAGGAAAAGCAAAGAGAGGTCGCATAAGGAACTCCATAATACGGAAAAATCTAAACGTAAAATCAACCGAAACTGTGATGAAGAAAAATCGTTTGGGATGGTTTGGTCATGTCTTTCGAATGCCAGAGAATCGAATGGCCAGGATAGTGTTGGAAAGTAAGGTTGAGGGAAGAATACCTCAGGGAATGCCCAGGAAGACCTAGTAGGTCAGTGTCAATGACCTTTGACAGAAGAGATATTGAATGGAGGAGGAGGCGGCAGTTGGCTCAGGATCGAGAGTTGTGGATTCGGCTTTAGAAGAAGGCTCCTCACACCGCTCAGCGATAGAAGAGGAAACGATTAAGAAGTGAAGAAGAAGAATTTTTATTTTCAAATGTATAAGTTTTCCCTTCAATCGAATATCTCTTACATTTTCGTAAAGCATTAAATTTTAATATAAGGGGTCGGTATAGCATAGTGGATACTGTTAAAGTAAATGATCATAGGATCGAATCCTGGCCCTACTTCCCACTAAGGCTGGTCCCCGCGGGAAGTTAGACCATTACTCCCTTAATTAGGAGAGGCCTACAGGTTGTAAAATACATGTAAGAACAGGATAGGAAAAAGAATTTATATGATATATATAAAAATCAAAAAGAATTTTTGAAAAAATAAATTCTTTCAGAATACCAGTCCTGCTTCCTATCGTTTGGGAAGCAAGTTTGGAAATCTTTTCCCTTCTTTATATCTGTAACAAAGTAAACTCTTTGGTGTTTATCGTAGTACTTCATTCCATGCTCATTGTTTGGGAGGTTTTATTGTTTACCAATTTCAATCTTTGGTTGTGTTGTTGAATACATTTTATTAAGGTTGTTAATTTTACGGGCATATTTTTCAAGCTTAATCTTATCACGTTAATCTGAAAACATTGTTATTGATCTCAAATACCTTTTTGGTATTTATATTTTTAACAGTACCCTATGCATATTGAAAACTGATAAGTAATTGATAATGGAGAATTTATATGCAGCTTTAACTTCAGTTAAAGTGCTAAGGTGTAGTGTTGGACAAATATTTAATTCACTTGCGAATGGTATAAGGGCTGACCATGGAGAAGAAGGAAGAGATACCAAGTTTTTATCTGAAATAGAAGAACTTCTAAATGCCGTTACACATCATTTAAGGTACTAGCTTGTTTAAAAGTTGATTATTTCCTTGTTTAAATATTTATTTATTTTTAATTCAATATAACCATTATTAATAATTAATTTGAAATTGTAGCATAATAGTTTTCTCTTACTTTAATTATTTTATATTTAATGTAAGTTTATAAAAGTTCGATTTATCAAATCATTGCTCCATTGGCCAAGAAATACACCGAACTATGTGGCTCGCCTTGAAAGTGGGAGATCTCCATTAAGTGTTGAAGTGTTGAAAAAAGTGATCAACTATTGGACAAAGCTAAGCTTAATGAGTGATGAAAGACTACCTAGACAATGCTTTAATAGGCTTAGAGCTCTAGACTCATCCATTGGAAAACCTGATCCAACTTATAACTGGGTTACCCAAGTAAAGATGATTGTGGTGGAACTTGGATGTCAGAGGCTGTTTTCTTGTGTTTTCTCTCAAGGTCTGATGAGGTTCAAAGATGAAATCATGGAAAAAATAAGGAACCATCACGCATCCAAGGACATCGACAGAGTGTTAAACTCTAAATCAAACCCAAGATATAGAAACATCTGCTCCTTTAATGTTAGCAGACCAGAGGATTATCTTCAGTTGAGGGCTCTAAATTTAAACAAATTAAGAGCCGTTATTCGTCTCAGAGTAGCAAGTAAAGATTTTATGAAAATATACTTAAAAGATGCTACTTTGACTATTAAATCCAGTGAGGTATGTGGTGCATGCAACTGTCTTGTAACTGACCCGGTAACTCATTTTCTGATCCAATGTATCAAGTTCAATGAGCCAAAAAATAAGTACTTGAAGGCATTTATCACTGAATCCAGAGAAGATGCTAGTGTGGAGAAGATACTGAAAATAGACACTACGAAAAAAATAAGCCAACTGTATTATTTCATACAGGGCTGTTCATTGAACTCTTGAGTGGTATAGTTAATCATATAACATATATTAATGCCTATTTATATTGTCATTTGTCTTATACCTCTCGAATATTTAAAAAAAAAAAAGTTTTACTAATTGTTATGTATATATATATATATATATATATATATATATATATATATATATATATTGTTTACTAATCTGTTATTATATTAGTCATACTTAATACTGTGGACATTGTTAATGTTATGTGTGAATGCAGTACTAGACTCAAGAGCTAACATTGTTAATTATACCATTATATTTATTTGTACAGGAATTTAATGTAAGTTCTATTGCTTGCTGGTCAAGAAATTATATAAATGAGTTCTTTATATTTGTCTGCCAGTTGTTTCACTTTTCCTTTTCCTTTATTATTAATTAGGATTTACTGTTTCTTAAGTATAATGATAATTTTTAACAGTGACATGCCAACATATCCATTTGTGAAGTATTGAAAAAAAAATACAAGAAAGAGATGGTCCATAAGTCTTACGAATAAATATTAAATTATGAATGTTTATTTATCTGATCAGCAATTATTTGTCATAACAACATTATATACGGTCACACCTTGATTTTATGGTATTTTAATTTGCATGTAGAAAAAAAGTATTAAGAATATGATATAAGATGAATAATAGAAAATCATATTGTTTTAAACAGGACAGTATTCTTATTGAATAAATTATTATTGAAAATGCAACTACCTGTGTAATGGTAATGTATTAGGTTGACTTTGAATCATCTTCTGTCTTAATAAATAAAAGTTATGAAGTCTTAAATTTCATAATAAATTATGAAAGACTCATATTAAAATATATATTGGCACCAAATATTACCTACAAAGAAATATATATTACATTTTAGAATCTATGGTGTTTTTTTCTGACCAAATCCTGGATCATCATAAATTATAATACGGTCAACTATATTCACTTATAATATAGAAAAAAAAATTATAGACGAGATTCCACCATAAATCTATTTTTTTTTTTTTTTTTTGTTCTTTCACTAACTGTTTCATCTCTTACCTCATCTTATCTTTCTTCCATTCATTTTGTGCCTTTGTTTGCAATTTAGTCTTTTTTATCTTGCACTTACCTTTACTGTGTCTTTCAATATAGAACTTTACTATGTCTTTCAATATAGGTAGGGTAGTTAAGTCTAACAACTGATTATCTTCTCTTTATTATGCTCTCATATACACCTTGCTCTATAATCTCTCAGTCTCCAGGTATGATTAAGCTACTTGAATTGGTTTCCTCAAGCACATCTTATTAGTTCCCATTCTGAGGATTTCAGTTGTCCTCATTTTACATGCTGCCCCCACCTTGTCTTGCTAACAAATTTCCTCAAAAACTTCCATTTCTGCATCAACTTTCTGATCCATGTATCAGCAGTAGAAAAACTTTGTTGCTCAATATAATAACTATGAATATCAGTACAAACTATGAACCTTCACGTTCTCACTTAAGATATAAAATATGACTTTTATAGCCATAATTTCATATATTTAACTACAGTTCATTAAATTTAATGTTTAGTTTTTCATTTCCTTTTATTAGTTTTTTTTTTTTGCAGAGATGTTGAACAAGCAGTCAATAATTTGTCACAACCGCCAGGTCCACTTACCCTAGGAAATACAAACTTTCTTAGTCAAGAATGCACTCAAGAAAGACAAGCATTATATAGTCAACTTGTTTTAAGTTATAAATGGACTGACAAAGTAAGTAAAATTTATCATTGTTATTTCACTGTTTGCAAATCACCCCTTAATAAAAGAATTAATTACAGATACATGAGTACAGTAATCATGCTGCTGCTTTACTAAGCCAAAATTCATTAAAAAGATCTTACATGAATCCAGGTAGTGCCAAGAGGCGAAGAACTCAAACTAGCAGCCACAATGTATCTCCACAGTATGTTCTTATTAGTATCTTGCATATTTGATCATATTGCATTTAATTAAACATTAATTATTACAAAATTATTGAAGGAAGTTAGTCGACTGTTCTACATATCATGGGTGATAAATATTCAGGGCGCAGTCATTATAAAGTTTTTATTAGTGTCGACGTTTCAACCCAAACATGTGGGTCATCATCAGGGCTGAAATTTTTTAAATACAATCAGAAATGTAACATACGACAGATAATGGTTAATAATAAAAAAATATAGTTATTGATGGTACATGAATCTTAACTAATATTACAATACAAAATATTACAAATGAAATATGTAAAAAGTTATACAATCTAAAACTAATGTATATAATCAATTTATAAAAATTTGTAATATTTTCTCTTACTAACCATGATTTGAGCACTGAAGGCTTTCACGTACTGACACATTTGGCAGGTAAGAGAAAGGGTCGGAGGATGATTTCTCAGTTGTCCTTTATCAGATAGCAAAAGGTAGGTAAACATATTCAGAGGGAAGGGGGGAGAGAGGTAACATTTCTGTTTGTAGAATGTAAATTATTTGCTGACTAAATATTCAAGATGTGAACATGATTTGCAATGTTTCTTATGGTTACAGAATTGTGACTATTGGCTAGTAATGAAATGAACATAAGCAAGAGGTACCAATCAATATAAACATAACATAGTTTGATTGAAGATATAAATAGTTAGCCAAATAATATTTATAATAAAGACAATAGTTATGGATTGAAAAGATACGTAGGACACTATATTATACAATATTTTAAAAATAACAATATTAATCATAATAGAAAGTTTGTATTATGTTAAGGATTACATAGTTTTAATGGCATAATTATAAACATATCTGTGCCTGTTTATAGTAAATATTTATATAGAGAATGGGCATTATAGGTAATATATATATATATATATATATATATATATATATATATATATATATATATATATATATATATATATATATAAATGTAGGAGTAGTTACCTATGTAAGCTGATGGGGAAATGGGGAAAATGAAAAACAAAATTTTAATGATTATAGACTATTGTTTTAGGAGGCGGAAAATATTCGAATATGTGTTGCAGATCTTTTCATTATCTGTCTTTGTGGTTTACCGGATTATTTGTTTCCAAATGAATATAGCTTCAGAAAGTAGTCGTTTATGATGATTGGGAACTGTGGCAAGTATGGTTGGGTTTTCAAAATCAAATTTGTGGTTTAGGATTATGGCGTGTTCGGCTAGTTTTGAGGCGAGCAGGTTTTGTGTGGAGATGCTGTATTTGTGTTGATATATTCGTTTTTTTAAATAGTTTTTGGTTTCTTCTATATAAGAATTGCAGTTTGGGCTAGAGCATGTGATATGGTATACAATTATTGATTTTTGTAGGAGCGGAACAGGATCTTTGAGTTTAGTGCATAGATTTCTTAATTTACTGTTATTTTTGAAACCTATTTGTTGATGGAGAAATTTGGAAGTTAAAGCTTTTTTGATTTTTTGCGATAGGACTGGGATGTATGGAATGAATTTGTATTTTCGAATCATGGTCGGAGATTGAGGGCAGTTTGTGGGATACTGGTGAAGATGAGGTTTGGATTGATTTTATAATTAATTAGGTTTTTTATAATGTGATCAGGAAAGGCGATGGATTTCAGGATTTTTTGTAGTTTGGTTAGGTTATTGTCATGGAATTGTGGGTCAATTAATGTTAGACTGCCGTGTATCAGGTTTATAGCTACACTGATTTTTTGGTGGTAAGGATGTTGGAAAAAATAGTTTAGGAGATGGTCGGATTAGGTAGGTTTGGTGGATAAGGTATTATCATTATTTCTGGAAATGAAGAGATCAAGAAATGGGAGGGAATTATTTGATTCTATTTCAATGGTAAAACGGAGTCGAGGGTGGTATGATTTGAATGCAGAAAGTATGTTTGGAATAGCGTGGAGGTTGAGGATTAATAAAAGGTCGTCAACATATTTTTTAATTTAAAAAAATATCATTGGGAAATTTTGGCTATTATTGAATCAATTAGGTTGTTTAGGACAATACTGGAGAGGTCTGGTGCAAGGCAATTACCCATTGCCAAGCCGGAAGTTTGATGAAACATATCTGCAACACATATTCAAATATTTTCCGCCTCCTAAAACAATAGTCTATCATCATTAAAATTTTGTTTTTCATTTTCCCCGTCAACTTACATAGGTCAACTTACATACTACTCCTACATTTATATATATATATATATATATAAACATATAATGCCCATTCTCTATATAAATATACACTATAAACAGGCACAGATTTGTTTATACTTGTGCTCTTAAAACCATGTAATCCTTAACATAATACAAACCTTCTATTATGATTAATATTGTTAATTTTAAAATATTGTATAATATATTGTCCTACGTATCTTTTCAATCCATTACAATTGTCTTTATTATAAATATTATTTGGCTAACTATTTATATCTTCAATCAAACTATGTTATGTTTATATTGATTGGTACCTCTTGCTTATGTTCATTTCATTACTAGCCAATAGTCACAATTCTGTAACCATAAGAAACATTGCAAATCATGTTCACATCTTGAATATTTAGTCAGCAAATTATTTACATTCTACAAACAGAAATGTTACCTCTCCCCTCCCCCCCCCCTTCTGACTATGTTTACCTACCTTTTGCTATCTGATAAATGGCAACTGAGAAATCCTCCTCCGACCCTTTCACTTACCTGCCAAAAGCCTTCAGTGCTCGAACCATAGTTAGTAAGAGAAAATATTACAAATTTTTATAAATGGATTATATACACTATTTTTAATTTGTATAACTTTTTACATATTTCATTTTTAATCTTATGTATTATTATAATAGTTAAGATTAATGTACCATCAATCACTATAGTTTATTATTTACTATTATCAGTCGTATAATATTATATCTCTGATTGTATTTTAAAATTTTCAGCCCTGATGATGATCTATATGTTTGGGTTGAAACGTCGGCACAAATAAAAAGTTTTTATAATGACTGCGTCTTGAATATTTATCATCCATGATATGTAGAACAGTCGACTAGCTTCCTTCAATATTTTTAGATTGTATAACTTTTTACATATTTCATTTGTAATATTTTGTATTGTAATATTAGTTAAAATTCTTGTACCATCAATCACTAAATTTTTTTATTATTAACCATTATCTGTCATATAATATTACATCTCTGATTGTATTTATAAATTTTCAGCCCTGATGATGACCCACATATTTGGGTTGAAACGTCGGCTCTAATAAAAACTTTATAATGATTGCGTGCTGAATATTTATCACCCATATTGTTTATTACAATATTAATATTTTTGTTTCAGAGCTGTTGATACAGTAATATCCGCCATAGATCGGCAGTTTAATGATATGACAATGTCAATTTCAAGACCGTTTGCAACCAATGCTGTTCTTCAGGTAGTATTTTATTTATTTATTTTTTTTTTTTTAGTTTTAAGATAGATGACCTAAATCTCTTAATTCGACATCTTGATACAATCGAATCTAATATTTGAGATGAAAATTGATCACATTAATGGTTAGCTTTTTCACTTTCTCAGATTCTATATAAATTTAATGGCATCACCTGAAAGGGAAAATCCATTCAGGTATCTGTTTTTGTCCTGAGTATAACATATAAATCATTTTTAAACTTATTTATGTTGCTTTGTTAATAAATTCATAGTGTATTTATATATGATTTTTTTATTTAAATAGGTATCCTTGGGACGTGTACTTCAAGCAGTCATTGCTTTTAAGGGTCTTATGATTGAATGGGTCGTCGTCAAAGGATATGGTGAAGCCTTTGATCTTTGGACAGACTCGAGGCATAAAGTATTTAGAAAGATCACTGAAAATTCACATGCTGCTATGTTGCACTTCTATTCACCTACACTACCTGAATTGGCTGTTAGATCCTTTATGGTAATTTTTAAATTTTGTACTTTGTCCAACATTATTTGTAAATGAAGCATTTGTTAATTACTTTTACATTTATTAAACCAAAATTTTTTTTTTTTTTTAGAAAATTACTATTCCAGTTAACTTACCTTATATTTATTCAGAAATATTACAATTTGTCACAATTAAAGACATTTATAATGGTGTTCAATGAGCACATTCACACTCTAAAAAATTACTATTGATGAAATAAAAAAATATTTAGCCCAATATTAGGAATCATGTTTCATTTATTTTTTCCTTATGTTACAAGGAAGGAAATGTTACTTTTGATGCATAATTGTTTGGAAATAATAAACCATTGTGTAATTATTTGTAGCATTTTCTAGTTGAATCGTGTATTTTACTTAAATCACTTTTCTTGTATTAAATATTTTAAGAAAAAAAAAATCTGTACTAGAGCTTATGAAGAGTGTTGGGTTGAATACTTTATATGGAAGTACTGTTTCTAAGCCAATGGTTATACAAGGAGGTGATTTGGTCTTGATCATCAGGCTTAACTGTTAGATTTTTCTTGTAATGAAAGGTACCCAATTTATAGAGATTGAGTGTACCCTTAAAGTGTCTCCATAGTCTAAGCTGGATCTACAGCTGATATAACTGAATAAATTATTATCTACCCTAGCCGGACTCGAACCACATCCCAGGAGAATAGGAGCAGACTCCACTCCTCTTATCCTTGAATTGTAATTGTAAGATTGTTTAGTTATCTTATGTATACTTTATTTTTATAAAGTCTGTTTATGATTCACCTAAGTGAACTTTTTTTATCTCCCCTGCCTCATCTTTTCAGCTATACAGAATTTGTTCTCTCCTGGCAGAAGAGAGAGCAGGAGATGCTAGGCACCACGACTTGAACTAGTAATCTTCAGTTTATCTGGTTGCTGGGCAAAATGTGTTTTGTACACGCATTAGTCTGCTCGTCCACCCCGCTCCTTTTTAACGAAGTGAACTAAAGATAAATTTAATTCTGTTCATTTTTCCTAATTTTGGTGTCTTGACGTTTTTATTTTTCATAACTAAAGGCCATATTACACCAATATTTTATTTCTACCATATTATCATGCTTGACAACGTTTCGGCCTAAACTAGGGCCATTTTCAAGTCTTAGTTGAGTCCTCCAACTAAGTATCCGTATTCAATAACCTTTTTCTTAATCAAAGAAGAATTAATTGTCCTATTATTTTAGGGTTTCACCTTCGTTATTTATGGAGGGATCTGTTATGGGAATGATGGGAGTCGATGACTTCTTTAGCTTTGTACCTTGTTGAACTATAAATGAAAAAGTAAAAAAAACAAATAGATATTAATTCATTATTCATTAAAATAAAATGAACTAGGTTGACGACTTTTATCTCCTTACACACCTATGTAATTGATTTTAACTAGGGATGTATAGGAACTGAAAGAACTAGTTCAAATGTACCACACAGTACATTAAACAGTTACAATGTATGGAGAACGGGGTGCACAATTTACTAGGTTTTTTTATAGCATGATTTCTCCCAACTCAGTCCTGTACTTTGAACGAACTAATAATTTTTAAACTAGTTTAATTTATAGAGTTCGTATGTTGTAGGACCTTATGTATGTGTATATATATATATATATATATATATATATATATATTACTTTTACCACTGAGCGGTGTGAGGAGCCTTCTTGTAGAGCCGAATCCACAACTCTCGATCCTGAGCCAACTGCCACCTCCTCCAGTCAATATCCCTTCTGTCAAAGGCTTCCTTGACACTGACTTCCCAAGTCTTCCTGGACCTTCCCTGAGGTCTTCTTCCCTCAACTTTATTTGTAAGACCTCAAAAATATCAATTTTTCCCACCTCTATCCAGAACAGCGAGTTTACCAATTAATTCAATGAACTGGTTTGGAGGAAGAAATAGTCTCCAAAACCAATATTATATTTTATTATTTATTAGGTATCTGTATTGTATCTTTGATTTGTGATGTTCTATTGAAATTTAAAAAAAAAAAAAACGTAGATTTTTCCTTCACCATTTACATCTTTTGCTATTATTTTCGATTTGTTGCATATAATTTTGTTAAATCTATTGTTTTTTAGGTTTCCCAATCGCTCTCATGGGTTAATAAACACCTACATCCATAATTTATTTATTAATCATTGATTTTCACAAGATGTTTTTATTCTCAAAATTTGTAATATGGATTATTAATTGTCTGGTAAATAAGGGCACTGCCATATTAAATTTATTAGTGATTTTAAATTCAAACACATCTGGTCAAAAATTTTTATTGTGTTATGGGGAATGTATTGAGCTGTTAGTGATTGCTCCCAACTCCATTTTTTTTTTCTGTACATTTTGTGTTGCTTGTGAACTGACTGTGTCTTGACGATGAGATTATTATCCTGAACTTACTATTTCTAATGGAATGTAAATGAGAAGCTATAATGAATAATTCATTGTACAGAAGTCTAAAAGTTATTGTATTTATGCATTGCATAGATATATATATCTGTAGTATAGTTGGAGGACCATATTAAAAATCGTGAATAATTTATGATTTTTTAGAAAACAGAACTTAGCTTAGTTTATTTGCTCAAAAATTCTCTTTAAATGATTTTAACAATGACAAACTCTATTTTCGTTTGAAGTAAATTTTGTCTAGTTTATAGTGAAGTAGTTGGCAATTACTTAAATCAAATGTATCTTTAGTTATTGATTTTTATTCATAAAAAACGTGACTTATTAAAAAACCACAAAACTAAATTTCCTACTTTTCTACTGAAATCAGAATACTGTTTATATAAATGTTTTGTAGCTTTTGAGGTCTATCACTCCTACATTATGTATTATGTATTATATATATCTTATATATTATATATTTCTCTCTACTTACTTATTATATATATTATTCAATTAATGTTAATTGATTAATAGAAGAAGATGCATTTTTACTTTCACTTACTTATATAAGTAATATATAGTAAGAGAAAGTATTACGATCATGAAAATTTTTGAATATCAGATTTCAATGGAAATAAACGTTTTGAGGTCCCATGAGTCGAAATAACGAAGTCTCGCAAAATGGTCTGTGTGTATTTGAACAGTGGAACAATGGAGGAACTAGAATTTTATTGCCTACCGTCGATATAATAAATATACTTTTTTTAAAATTATAATGGTCTTAATGATTTGTTATCTTTGTTATCTGTAAGCTTTAAGCTCTTGCTCCGTTTAAAATGCACTTCAAATATTTTATAATAGTCCAACATTGCCAGAAAATAATTTCTATTCAAAGTAGAGCGGTAAGTGAAAGTTTTGTGTTGCGCGCATCTGATTTTTTAATTTATATTAACATTGCTGATTTTATAGCTCAAGTTTTAGTATTTCCTGTTAAAATATTCTATGAAATATTGTATATATACCTCTTAAGTTAAAATATTTTAACTTCATGCTCATATTTTAAAGGAGCTTTAATTATTATTTATAATTTTTCAGACTTGGTTTCACAGTTATATAACACTGTTCAGTGAACCATGCAAAAAATGTGGTAGTCACCTTCACTGCGCTCTTCCACCTACTTGGCGTGACTTAAGGACCCTCGAACCTTTTCATGAAGAATGCAAACTATAATAATTTATTTTAAAAATTAAAGATATGTATAATGGCTATTGTATAAAGTTAGGTTGTGATCTCTTGTAAAAATTAATCATTTTTTATATTTTTTATGAAATTATATTTCCCTTTTATTTTATAAATCATATTTAAAATGAATAATTGAGAACTTGATTTTCTAAGTCCATGAATTTTTAAGAAATTTTTATTACAATTACAAATTTCAACCTGGTGTACAAAAAAAAAATTCTTTGCATATTTTACTATTTTATTTTTTTACAAAAAGAAAATGTTATGATTATTGAAAAAATTGTATTTCATATTTAGCTAACAGCAACAAATTTAAAAAATAAAATAAAAATTTACCATACATTAGGTTTTTCACATTGTCAAAATTATAATTCTTAATTGTCTTTTTAAATTAAGAGTGCTACCAATGGGTAGTTGCTCAACAAGTCTTTTCATGTCATTATAATTCTAGTCACATTTACTAGATGTATTTTTATTTTACTTAGCTATACATGTAATATATAGTAAGGGAAGGTATTGTGAAAATTTTCGAATCTGAGTTTTCAATGGAAATACACTTTTTGAGGTCCCCGGGGTCCAAATAACCAAATCCTGCAAAATGGTCTGTGCCACTGTGAATCTGTGCGTATGTGAACAGCCTAGCTCAAAAACGAAAAGTTGTACGAAACTTAAATTGCGTATTTAAGGTTTTTATATAGTTCTGATGTGGCAGCAAGTTTTTCGTTAAAATCGGCTAACCAGAAGTGCCACTTTATATCAACGGTGATGCACATTTTAACAATTTTCTCAAAAACGGCTCTTAACAATTTTGATTAAACTCAGTGTATTATTGTATAATTAAGTGGTCTTTAATATCATTTAGGTCTTATCCCCATTGATGTCACTTTAAAGAGCTTAAATGCCCAAAGTTTATATACATCTTCTAAAGTACCTTTAATATGGATTATTTAAAAAAATTAACTCTCTTTTATTGACAGTAACATAAAAAATGGATAATTATGAAGTTTAAAAGAATATGATAATTGGAAACCGGAGAAAAATGCTTATCCAGGATGAAAATAAATCTGCGGAAATAACAGTCTAAATGTATACGTATAATATATCGTTAGAAGGCGAAGAGTTTTAGAAAAAAATAATATAAAATAAATAAAGTTGTAGAAGGTAATGGAGAGTGACGAAAAAAATATAAATAATAATTTCAGAAAACTAAAATTATTTAACGTAAATGACACGTTTCCAAGGAAATAAAATGAAATTTTCTTATTAAATGTAAACTTTTACATTTTTTTTCTAAGTAAAGTAAAAAGTATTTAAAATCCACTGAATCAAAGCAATTGTTTAAAATACTATTTCATTGTATGTGTGTGAAAGAAGTGAAATATAAAAATATTTCATGGATATGTTTATAACCTTATATACGTTTACTGTACTTTAATAACTCTCGATATGATATCATATTTAAATAATTAAGTATCTTTTAGCGGTTTATAAAAAAAAAATCAAGTAATCTTTTAGAAAATTAAATTAATGAATAATTTAATGTATTTTCCCTTTGTGAAATCCCAGTATTATCCCCTTACGATTAGTGTGACAACTTTTGACCTATCCATGGCAGGCAATAAAAATTTTGTAATTTCATTTTAGTAAACTTTACAATAGAAAAGAACAGTTTAATAACTAATAGTCCTACAATCCATAATTATTTATAGGTTAAATATTCAGATGTATTTTCAAATCTCTCTAGGCATATATGAGTAGTAGAATTTATTCACAGTTCTATATTTCAGCACTGCAATCACCTACTCTGGAATCAACTTACTCACTGTCTTTATAGATATAACTTTTCCAACTAGAAATATCACTAAAATGACATTGCTCAAAAATGTTGAAATTGGAGTTAGTCTTTCTGTCAACTGAAAGGCTCAGAGACTGAAGTTATATGGTTTATAAAAGCAGATGGAGTAACTTTTATTTTCTACCGTCGATATAATAATAAATATTTGTAATTTTAATGGTCTTAATGATTTGTTATCTTTAAGCTTTAGCTTCGTTTAAAATACACTTCAAACATATTTTAATAGTCCACCACTGCCATAAAATAATTTCTATTCAAAGTAGAGTGGTAAGGAAAAGTTGTATGATTTTTTTTTACAGTCATAAATTTCTAGTATAATCAACATTTTATTTTATTTAAAATTTTTTTAAACTAATTACACACATCATTTATCAGCACATATTGGTAGTATTGGCATCATACCTTCGGTTACATTAAGGCTTATTATAATTATTATTATTCAGAATTTCATACTTCCTCAGTCATTGCTGGGAAATGTTTAAAAATTTGCTGACTACTGCCATTCCCTAATAGCACAGCTTTCTGACCTAGGATATAATCAGGAAGTTCCAGTTCTTTGCAATTTTTTATCGTTTCCTCTGGGACCAATCAATTCGAAATGATGAAGGGTAACTCCTTACCTTGTTGTATTCTGTAGAGTTGTTTCAGTTCCTCACAAAGCTTTTGATATTTTCTCCAACCAATTTTTGAACATTATCATCATTAGAAACTCTTATCTATTATTGCATCTGTCCTTTTTTCCTATAACCACAATATCTGGTTTATTGAATTGTTGTTTCTACATCAGAAAGGATAGATTGCGGGTGTAAAGATAATAAGGTTTTGGTTTGGTCCCTCAGCAAATTTATAATATTTGATCAAGCTTAGGTGGATTACTTTTGCCAAATTATTATACTTTTCAAAGCATTCTTTCCCTGCTAATATTTTGAAGCCTGTTGTTATATGCAGGATGGACTCAAATGCTCCTTGGCAAAGTCAGCATTTATCACTAACCCCCTGATTAAATATATACTTGCGGTATGAGTTAGTTATAACTATTTGGTCCTGAATAACAAGAAGAAAACCCTCTAAATAAGAATTAGAAGACAACTTATTATTATTTACACATGTTATAGTAAATAAAGAAACTGATGGTTCGGAAGTTGATAAGAAATAATATGAAACAGTTATCTTATCACAAATATATAACAAAGAATGAGCTATATAAGAGTAGGAATTTTGAAAATTTATTAAAATAATAAAGGCCTAAGATAAAACATCACAATACTTACAAATAAATTAACATTTAAATTTATGTAATAATTTACTGTAAAGTAACTCTTAAAATATAGGTATATAAGTCTAAATAGTGGCAAAAATATTTTATTAAAAGCCAACGTTTCGACCCGACTTTGCAGGTCTTCTTCAGGGCTAGAACGGATAAGATACAAAAAGATATAGAGAATTGTGGAAGTTACATCATATTTAAATACTAGAACAGACTAGATAAAAATGATATAGAGAATTGTGGAAGTTACATCATATTTAAATACTAGAACAAACTAGATAAAAATGATATAGAGAATTGTGGAAGTTACATCATATTTAAATACTAGAACAAACTAGATAAAAATGATATAGAGAATTGTGGAAGTTACATCATATTCCGCAATTCTCTATATCTTTTTTTATCTTATCCGTTCTAGCCCTGAAGAAGACCTGCAAAGTCAGTTCAAAACGTTGGCTTTTAATAAAATATTTTTGCCACTATTTAGTCTATTTACGACCGCACCCCGAACCATCTCCTTCCTCAATATATATATTATCCTTTGAAATATAATTTACTTTTAAAATAGTTATTCAAACTAATAAAATAAAGTAGTCAATTTTTAGATCTGTAGCTCATATCACAAAAACCCCGGACCATTTCCTTCCTTGATAATATATATTTTTCAACGCTTAGCTCAATCTTTTTCTATTTGTCATTGCTCTGTAGAATAACAAATATTGACTCTAATATATTAGCTTTATTATAAGGAAAATTGTTGTTCACCTACCTTGAGAGCTTATACTTGCTCACCAGTGAAAGCAATTCCAAAACTGGCACCTGCTCGTTCTCAAATCCTTCTAGAAATACTTGACTGGTGAGGATAGCTTTTCTGTAGAATGCAGAACACATTAGATACTTAAATAGATACACATTAGATACTTAGATACACATTAGATATAGGGTAGAATGGGAACACCATTATGCTCCAAGTCATTGAGAAGGGTCTTAAAAGCACATTGGTGCACTTACCTTAAGGAATGGGTTATATTTGGGAGATTTACAGAAAATTAAAGTATTTTTAGTTTGTACTTTTATATTTATTTATAAAAAACTTCATTTTTTATGTTTTCTTCATATTCTTTTTATGACATTTTTGTTATCAAATTATTTTTTATAATAACTCACTGATTATACACAATCTAGTCTGGCAATGATTTCATAATTTTTAGTATAATTAAATTCACAACTACAAAAATTTCTTAGTAAAAAAATTAACAGTTAAATGTTTTTTTTTAAATAATAACACTGTTTAATTATGGAAAGTTTCTAAACACAATGCTGAGCTCATTTATGGCATAATTGAGCCCAGTTTAGAGACGGATCCTGTGCCATTTATGAGATCAGCGCTGAGTTTAGGAACTTGCCCATACTTTGGGAAGTTTTCAATATGGATTGACCCACCACATAAAGCTAGGCCATACAACCTCTGTTTGAGAGGGTAATAAGATTTTACAAAAACTTGTACAAAATGCTTATAATATATACATACATAATATATAAAAAATGCTTATAATATATAAAAACATTGATCTTTCAGTTATAAAACCAACATTACTAATCATTTCATTGAAAAACCTGCTGTATAGTCATTTTGAATTGAACATCTGATAAATATGAGGGTCAGAAGCCAAGTTTTGTTTTCAAAAAATGGATCAAATGCAGAATTAACATTAAGCACATTAATGAGAGTGAGATTTCAAGTACAGAACAAGTTTTAACTCAACCAAAAGCAATTCTATATTATTTTTCAAAATTATTACAATGGTTCAGTAAATAAAAGTAATTATCAGAAAGTTCTAAATTTAATTTTCAACTACAGCCTAAACAACGATTAATGCATAACAAAAAAAAAAAAAAAATGCATTTTACTGTAATAGAATTTTCTGGGTAAAAATACTTAAATTAAAATAACTCATTATTTACATATTATTTATTATTTGGATCCTTGGATTCTGGCCCACTTGAAAATTTTATAAAAACTATGACATTTATGTGATAATTTTCCAGAAAAAATGTATCAAAAATTAATCTTCACACACAAACTTAAAAATAACCAGTTTCACTTTTATAATATTGAAATGGTAATAAATTCATTAATACAAAATAAACTAAAAACGCCAAGAAACTAGAGATTTACCTAAACTAATAAACATTTTTTTAAATATAAAAATTATCCGGTTCCCTGTTAGAAAGGAAACAGCTTTTATTACAAAAAAAGAGCAAACAAAAAATAACAGTAAGCGTAATTCATACTAATAAATTACAGGTTTTCATGAAAACAAGACTATTTCAATGAAACATTTTAAAATAATTTTAATCAACTTCTAGCTTGCGGAAACTTCCACAATGAAAGTTACTCTGGCCTTGATTGCATCCTGCTTTCAGTGCTGATACAGCACCAGCTTTGGCATTTTCTGGGAAAAGATCAAGACAGACTTCCATTTTATCATTGTCAATGAGTGTTTGTCTTTTGGCTTCTAGTTCTTGTTTAAACAGCTCTGTAACATAAAAACATACAATATTAGATTAATGTATGTAGATTGATTTTGATAAATTGAAATTTTCTCTCATCAAAAAATCTGGTTCACATGTAATTTTTAATGACTCCAGATTAAAAGTTAGCAAACTTTAAATTCTCCTAGCAGTGAATCCCACCCAAACAGTGTTGATTTTAAGATTTTCATTGTACAATGTTATTAGATCTGGCTTTCTTCTGAAATTCATTATATTTTTTCCTAACTTTTTTATAAACAGCTCCTCAATTCAATACTATCAAGAACCTTGGTGTCTTCCAATCAAACTCTTTTATGGAAATATCACATATCTCAAAAATCTTGTTATTCAGCCTTCATTCAGAGACATTGCTACCACTCACACCATCTTCCTAGATGCATTCACTGGCCTGCCCCCTAATTTTATCTTGAATAAAATTTTAATTTTTTTTACTCTGGTGAACTTTATCGGAAAGATTTGAGAATTTTTTAATAAATTTAAACCTAAAATTAATTTTTGTGATCAATAGACATACCCAAATTTCAGAATAATGTTCTGGAATAACACATATTTTATCTAAGATTTACTTCTTTTAAATGAGATAGAAATAATTGTATATTATAAAAATGGAAATAATTGTAACAATACCTATCATTTCAGCCATTGGCATTGTTCCTCCATATTCTTTTGGTAACATGCTGGAATCGACTTGCTTGAGTGCCTCTTCAATGGATGTGTATATCTTTAACACAAATTAAATTACATTGATGAACAATGGTGTAATCAAGATATATACAATTACATAATTAGTTGTAGGTTACCCAAGAGAGTCATATTTAAAAAAAAATGTTTTATCTGAAATGGGTAACGTAATGAAAAAAAAAAAATAAAACATTTATTTTATAATATTTACCTTATGTTACCCCATCTAAGTAATTATATAAATAAATTAAATTAATGAAGCCCATTAAACTCTATTTTGGCAGTAAGCCAGTCAATTGTTCTTAATCATTTTAAGAGTAGTAATCATAAATTTTGAGCTAAACACGATTGTAATATGTTTGAAATTTATTGTTTCAATTTAAAGCTCAATACTTATACGAGAAACTCAAGGTTTGTAAAACAGTTGTAGTGGTTGATATAGGAGTGGTTTTGTTTAACCTTACTTGATTATTCTCAACCCTAATTATGATTTTTTATGTCAGATTATTATTATTTATTCAGATGGGTTCTCAATTATTTTATTAGTGCTAAAAGTACCAAAATTTAAACCTAACTACTCTAGGAAAATGTTTAGGGCTTCTTGTGAACATAAAACTATATTATTTTCCATGACTCGCTGTGATAAACAGTAGGAACACTTTCCCAATACTTTTAACACTATCTACCAGCATATTTTTATTTTTCACTTAAATTTGCTAATCATAAAAATATCTGTGGTACTCTTGACATTTATTTATTTTTTTTAAGTTTAATCTTATATTATAAAATTATATTGCAGGATAGATTGAAAATTAATATTGTCCTGTAATTGTTACTCATTACTTCATCATATCTTGGCGAAGGCCTTACTTGGTAGCTTGTTAGCTCCTTTGAATAAATTTAATTGCTGCAGTTTTTTATAAATTTGCTTGCAAAAATACATTTTGGGATTTAAAAGGCTTCAGAAGTATAATAACATCAACTTAATTTCATAAAAATTTCAAAATTGCTCATTTTTTCAAGATTGAAGGAAAAAAGTTGATGAATCCTAAAAAATAAAAATTAAGTTATCCATGGCATCTCATTACTAGCCATTCCGTCAGAAACCATACACCAAATAGCATGGCAATCAAAATGATGGATTAATTATTATTAGCAGTAGTACTATTTTTATGATATATATTTCAGTTATACAAATGTATAAATGAAAAATTTAATACCTTAACACGTTCTTTAATTTTATCAGATATTAAGGTCATTCCCCAGTCCAAGACATACTTCAGTGATTGTGGAACATTTATAACATGTACTTCTTTATGTCTCATAGGAAGTGTACGCTGTAAAATAATTCATAAAGATTTAATACGCTATATTTTAACATGATAACATATCAATATTATTATGGTATATTACAAACTAAAATGAACTTTGTACTAGTTCTAGGACTTTTAAGGATATTCAGTCAACTCTATTTCATTTAACTTTTGCAGTCCAATTTTTCTAGACCCATTTCTTTTTTGATAAAAAAAACCTAGATGCATTGTTGTAGCAGTAAGCCTCTAAAGTAGTGTTGAAACGTTTTTTGTTTAAAAAAATTAAAATTAAATAAATAATCTTTATAATTTCAAATGTTTAGCTATTTAGTCATGTATTTTTGATTCTTAAATTTTTTTTTTATTTTAAAAAAGTAGTTTTTTTGCCCTTCAATTTAACAATAATTGTTGGGTTATGGGAATGAGTGCATTTTTAGGAAAAATTGAATTATTGATAATAGCAAACTTTATGGTAAAATTTTACAAGTTTGATATTATTAATATTTCTTCTTTCCATCTTCAAATTTGGTCCATCGCCAATAAACATTGATCTTGTAATTGATGAAAGTCATTTGAATTCATTTTGCTAAGAATTCAGAAATATTACTTCTTCTCTATATCTACTTGACCCCTCAATTGTTTTAGTATACCAATGGCTTATTTCCAAAACTTTGTAAATCTGATTCAGTTGAATTCTAAAGTGATGTAAATATTTACTCACTCATTTACTTTAATATTGAATATAATTTGCAATGTTATGTTTATCAATAATGTCAGAGGATTTTTTCTCAAAAATTTAATTTTTCTATTACATATACAGATGCTAAAATAGCTGGTGATAAGGTGGCAAACACCTCAAACCTCAATTCAAAGGGAGGCCCAAATTGGAGATAGTTTTTTTATTTATATACCTAAATGATAGGTAAAGCGTTCATATTAAAGTCTTTTAAATCTTTTAGATTTGATTTAATATTTTAATAAATTTTTATACATATACACTGACAGGCAAAAAATTCCACCGATTTGATTTTTTCATGTTTTCATCTAAAAATATTTCTGCTTTGGATTGGTCTATTGTTTTTAATGAATAAATAGGTAATCTTTTTAATGTTAATATAGAGGACAATAACCCTTAATCCTTAATTCAATGAAATGATTCTAGATTCCAATGTTTACTTTCTATGGAATCAAAATGTTTATTCAGTATCATTAGTTCAGTGCCATTTCTTGCAGCACATTTCTTAGTCTCCGGCTTTTAATTTTTTCAATATTAAGTTTTAAAATGCCTCTTATTGTTGAGGATGTTGCGCGTGGTGTGGCACTTATTGATGACGGACTATGGACTAATGGACGTTCCATTAGATATGCAGCTAATGCCATCGGAGTTCCATATGAAACTTTATGAGACACGTTTTCGGGAAACTGGTTCTTACAATAGAAGGTCCAGTTCTGGACGGCCTAGGGTAACAGAACCACGGGATGACCGGTTTTTGACTTTTACGAAACCGGCACCTTACCATTGTTCAAGCGATTCATCAGCTCGAAGAAGTTCGAGGTGTGCAAATTTCTGAATGTATACGTGGTGTGCAATTACTGAAGATTAAATGAGTATGGATTAATGGCTTTTCATCCAGTAAGAGGACCAGAGTTGACCAGAACTCACAGAGTGACACGGCTGGCTTTTGCTCGAGAACACAGCCATTGGACTACGGACGAATGGAGTACTGTACTTTTTACAGATGAGTCAAGATCGCTCTTTGATCTCCAGACGGGTGTGAAAGGGTGTGGAGAAGAAGAAACGAAAGATATGCAGCCTGTAATTTTTCCCAGAGCCAACCTTTCCAACGTGGTTCCTTAATGGGTAACAAGTGGGTGGAATTTTTTGCCTGTCAGTGTATATACAGCTGAATCTCTACATATCGACTGTTTTCTTTTAGAAACACTTGATAGGTGTTACAATAAAATATTCTTTTTATCAAATAAAATTTTGATATTTTGAATACAAAAACAAATTTTGAAATATATAATTAATTAATGATACTTTTGCTTTTTGTTACTTGCTGTTCATATATATTGATATCCAATTTTTTTTAATGATAATTCTTTTGATAATCTAAAGAAGGTTTGAAAAAATAGTTATTCAACTACTTACTTCAATACTTTCATTTATTTCTAATTAATTGGGAATGTTGTTTATGGAATGAATATCAAAAATTTACCTCTCCATTTTTTACTATTCTTACAGCTTCTTTGGGTGTGAATAGTGTCAAATAAGGAAAAGACACACCTGCACCATCAGCAAAGTGGACAAAGCCTCTGACTTGATTCTCTTCATCTTCCATCAAAGTTTCATAAATTATTCCATGAATTCTACACATATCCTCATTGATAAATTTATAAGGATCAAAGACTCCTGTTGAAATAGATTCAATATTTAACTAGAGTAATAGTTAGAAATTCAATCTAGTAACCAGAAATAATATCATCAAGAATAACTTTTTCAGTTTTTTTTTTAAATTCCAGTAAGTATAATTTTATGGGTATACTGGTATTGTTTTTCATCATACAATAATAACTAAAGTATTTTTTTAAATTGATGTACGTATTAATGGGTAAAAAAGTATATCTGTACATTTATCTGTTATCATAACATTTATCTGTACATCCACATAAATGTTAAAGGTTCATTGATGTTATGGAGACATCAGGACAGACAATGAAATGCATTCACTCATTTTGAAACAGCCACTAGGAAATTTGGTCTCATAAATATTGAGAAAAAAACTAAATATATGTGGCAAAGACAAAGTCATATTCCGTGAAATTTGTGAGAATAGAGATTTTTAGGTGCCTGGGATCCTAGGCGAAGTCATGGAATGATGTATCATAAAAAGTGAGCAGATGAATCAATGTTACCAATAGATGCTTCCAATGACCTGTTCAAGCATTTAAAGAGCAAGAATCTTTCCTCGAGTATGGAAATCTATCTCTAAAAGACCCTGGCATGCATGGTGTTCACCTATGGATCAGAAGCATGGGCAATCACCAAGACAGACAAAAACAGGTAACTGATATTCGAGAGACAGGTGCTAAGCAATAAGAGAAAGAAAAGTCTGGAGGAAAAGAAAGAACAGGAAGCTCTATAATTTCTTTCTAATATAATGGGATTCTAAAGCTGGAAATGACCCATGTGAGCCAGAGATATCACTCAGATAGATGACTGAGGTCCCAAGAAAAGTAATGATAGAAAAGTTGCACCGAGCAAGGAGAGTGGGGCTATCCAGGAAAAGATGGCTGAATGATGCTGAAGTGAATAAATGGAACCTGAGCAATAGGTTGATCAGCTGCAGCACAAGACGAGTCGTTTGCCCAGGTCTTGTCAAAGAGGTCTATACTCACTAGCCGGTCATGATTATGTATGTAATTATTAAAGGCAAATATACACAATGTACCTGTGCAAATGAAAAGTACTCATAAAAGCAATAATTCTGATGATAACATAGCAATTAATAGATAATAATATTAAAAAAATGGTAAAAAGACAGTAATTTGGAAACAATGTAGAACAAAAATTACAATAGATTAGTGTGAATAAAATGAGTATAACAAAAAGAAATGGAAATTATTGTAATAAAAAAAATTCAATATAATAAAAAATCAAGGTATTAAGAAACTTGGTAAGGAAGTTTTGTTGAAATTTTTGTTGCGCCTTATGAACTTCCTGTTATAAAATAATTTATTAAAATTATTTAAAAGTAAAAATAAATTAAACAAAACAAATAAAAAAAGAGAATGGTATCCAAAAAGGAGTCTTAGTCCATGAAATCTCAGTACAGAGGAGTACTGTTAGTATACTAAGCGGAGGACGGGATGGCCGAGCACGTTGCGACGTGGTTCCCAGAGTGTCCGGTTCTGAACGTTGTGGGTTCTATTTATATCTGGGTCTGTTGCTTTTTATTTCTCAGCGGCCTCGGGAAATGGATCATGACATTCCCACTCTGGCAAGTACACTACGGCAACCTTAAAAGTAGACGTCAGGGTTTGGCAAAAAGGACCACTATAGGCCCATTTGCCGGACTAGTTCCTCCCAACCAGTACCAGTACCAGTAGTATACTAAGCGACTTTGGCAACAACTGGGTAAACAGGTACTGACAACAATGACATCAAATAAAACAAATTTTAATAGAGAAACAATAAGGATAACAGTTTAAAAAATAATAATAATAAAAATGCTGTATTCTTGAGTTCAGGCGAACCTTAATTTGAATTCCTCTATATTATTTATACATGGTTTTCTCATGCTATTTTTTTTTTTTTTTTTGTTTAAGTAAAGAATAAAACAGGGAATCAGTATTTAAATTATTATACCTGGCCTAGCTATGAGCCATCTTCTTCCTTGTTTGTCCCTTCCTGGACTAGCAAACATATACCTAAGAATAGATGAAATTTAATTTAGTAATAATGAAATTTAAACTTATTAAAGGAATAATTAGTTATAAAATTAATATAAAGCTTTCTTCTCATATGTAATACAGCAAATATCATTTCTTAAATTTTCAATAGTTATTCCTCAATCTAACACAAGTTGCTCTTTTTATATTTTCATAATTTAGTTTCTAATGACTGGTGGTAATGATGACACACTCACCCATTTTTAGATTGGTTGTTTTGAGTGTGTCAATCCAACGAGAACTCCACATTTATTTTTTTTGAGAAATGCAGCAAACAACCACTGCAAGCAAGAGGTGGATTATGATGTTCTTAGGCAGTTAAGAAGTTGATTTGTGTTATTAATGCCAAGATAGAACTTTACAAGAACATTACAACCAGTTGTAACATATGGTCCCAAGGTCTGGCTCACCAGAAAGATTAACAGATTTCACATGTTCGAAAACAGCATTTTATCCCAGAAAGTTTGGGCGAAGCAAGTAATATTTATTTGTTTAGGCTGTGTGAGAATAAAGAAACTGTGAAATTTATGATGCTGGATGTACTTTATCAGCCCAGATAAGTTACAAGAATAACTGATAGTGAAATACCAAAATGGTTTTAGCAAAACAGCGTCACAAAATGAGACAAGTTGGAAGACCTAAGGTGTGGTGGACTAGGTCCACTGACGGTGGCTCTCAATGGAGATTAGGTCTTTTTTCTATTTGAAGTGATATGTTTTCCAGTATTTTATTAAATATTATTATTAGTATATTACTATTATTATTAATACTGAATTTTATTAAATTAAATTTTTCAATATTTTATATTAGTATATTACTATTATTATTAATATTAAATATTGTTAAATTAATTTTTTTTGTTTCATTTATAAAAATTAAAATGAGTTAGATTATAACAAGAAAAAGTTTCCAACAAACTGTAAGTTAGGTGGGGCTAATAACATGCCATTGGTTTGAATTCTGTAAATCATAGCCTGTGCAACAGTGATTATTTTTCGTATTTATTGAATGAGTGCCTAAATTTTAAAATATTTAAATAAATACAAACCCATTATTGATAAGGTACTCCATTCTTGGAAGATGACAATCCAAATTGTGAAAAGCTTGAGATATTGTCTGCCTTAAAAGAAGGTACCTTTCAAGAGCTTCCTGGGCCATAGGAATGCTGAATTTTTTGAAACGTAGAAATCTCAAAAAAAAAGAATCATCTATGGAAAAGTTAAAATATTAGAAATCAACAATGTTATTAATTGTATATTTTAATTAGATTTTTTTAGTCGTGCCAGTTACTTTACCACTTTTTACATAATATATACTTTGTATTCAAAGAAATTGTAGTACTTAAAGTGAGAGTTCCATTATTATAAGCTTATTATTACATATTTATCTGAAATATTGGCTAAAAGTGTTGGATATAAGTTGAAAAGCATTAACTAAATAATTTCTAACATGTTTCTATTGTAAACTAAAACTAACAAACTTAATTTTTTTTAAAAAATATATTGACTGAGTAAAAAAACAAAGTTACATCAGGATTTTTAAGCTCAAACAAATTACGAAAAATTACTGGTGGGAGAATAGTTTAGTTTAAGTGCTCAGTAGATTTACTTCTTTTTCATTCCAATGCAGTATAACAATTGATTTTGAACCTGAATCAATTTACTAATCTAAGGGGCATTTAATTTAAAAGCTGTTTTTTCTTTGGAAATCAGGCCTGGTCTGGCTCCGTTTATGGGGTCCCCCCATCTACGGAGGGACATAAAAAATTGGCATAATTTTTAATAATTAATATGCATTATTCTCTTTTTGGTTCAGAAGCCAAGTTCTTAATTTCCTTGGTATTAAGTTGTATAAAATATAAATTATATACCATACTAATAGATAAATACAAAATAATGATATTTGAGTCCCTCAGAAGGGGCATTCTAGGGTGTTAAAAAAGTACAAAACATCCATTGGAGTGGCCCTAAAAATTTTAGGAAGTAAACGAATACAAAGCAATTATTTTTTGAGTACTAGAAAAATATAGAACAATGATTTCTAAATCCCCTCTAGCCCAGGGGCCCTTAGTGATCGCAGGCTAGCCAAACAGTCCAGTCTGGACCTATTGAAAATAGTAAGAAATAGGTAAAGAAATTCACACTAATATTAAAAATGAAGAGAAGAATAGTTGGGGTGGTCAGTCAAAAAAGAAGGCAAAAATAAATGATAATATTTAATTTTTACATATGCATAAAAATAATTACATATTTACATAAAAATAAATATTATCATTTATTTTTGCCTTCTTTTTTGACTGACCACCCCAACTATTCTTCTCTTCATTATCCACGACAGTCAACCATTTACCAATTATAATATTAAAAATATATTTTTCATTCTATTTTCAATAATTTCAATTACATTAAATGTAAGAAGGTTATTTGATGGGTAATCATGATTTTTTTGAATTACTATTAGGCAGTAGTAAATTACAGCGAACAAATACACAACCTTGTCTGCAGGATATTATCCTTGGGTTCATTCGAACCCAATCCTTGATCTGCTGCAATGCCTGTTCTCTGGAGCTGTCTGTCTCCCGCAGTTCATCTCGAGCTATCTGAAGGGTGGCTGCCGACAGGGGACCATTGTAGCTAGGGCACATCTTACTGTAACTGTGCTTCTGTCTGTAATAAAATATTTTCAAATGTTATAGAAATATTACAAAATATTTTTTTTTAAATATTAGAATAGTTACTAACTATAATTATAGAATATGTTATTGCACTCTCATAAAAAAAAATTTTATTAATCCTCTGCAGGTACCACATGGTGAACTATGTCTAAAGCTAAAATTAATTTAAATAGAAAAATGTTGTTGATTAAAGTCATGTTTTCTTGACCTTTATTCAGGATAACAAACTGATACAAAAAGAAGGAAAAAAAAAACCTTTTTATGGAAATATAGAGGAAGTAATTAATCAAAATAAATAAAATTGGAAAATTTTAAACTCAAACCGTTTTAGATAAGGTAAAGAAATTGCATGAAATAAGGTAACAAAAAATAAAAAATCTTTGATTACTTAAGAAAATTTAGGAATTCAGGAAAAATGCATGATAAAAACTCATTCTAGCGCCACAAATTTTATCAAGAATGAAAATATTTATTTTGGGTATTATTAAGAAGTTGTTAGGCTTGAAGCTAAGGAATACAGAGAATATGCATAGGATTTTTTAGGTTATTAAATATTGAAATACACCAGAAGTGGCAACTTTAGGCATTAAGTGCCCCTTGACAACTACCTACATCATGAATATTCACTCCTCCCCTCTTATAAAAAATAAGTGAAAGTAAAAAATTGTAATTTAGGAGGAGAAAATGTATCTCATTTAATTTGTCTTTGATTCAATTGCTTTATTAATTGGCTAAAATTAATTTATCTTATATGCTTCCCGATTTTTAATAATTCTCAACAAGAGGAGGACACAGCTGCTTGTCAATGCCTCCTCATGAGTTCTTGTTGCCAGGGCACTGTACACAATAAGGAGGATAAAGATGGTTCTATACCTGCTAAATCTTACATAAAATATATGATGATAAAATGTGAAACTGTATTAATTACTAACAGAAGTGCCCATCCTCTCCCCCCCCCCCCAAAGATAAATGGTGCAAGAACCTATTCCCCACTCCCAAGATATTTTTATTTATTTATTTATATTTTTTATGCAATTTGCACCTGCGCATCTAGCAAATTTGTTGTGTTTGTATAGTCTTGGTGTTTTTTCTTGATTTTGTTTTTATTGATGTAGTAGGTCTCTTGGCCATTTTCTTCTTAATCTGCGTTGTTCAGATAACAGGGAGCAGGAGATAGAAAGAACCAGAGGATTGGAGTGATTTTGGGTTGAAGAATGAAATTTAGTGTATTTGTCGTTGATGTAGGATTTTACTGTTGGAGTGTTTAAGTCGTTATGTATAGTAGTATTTGAAATGTACCAAGGTGCGTTAACAATTTTTCGTAAAATTTTTGATTGTGCGGTTTGTATTTTGTTTATGTGTGTTTGTTTTGTAGAACCCCAAAGTTCTGCTTCATATGTCCATATTGGTCTCAGTAAGGTGTTGTAGATCAGTCGCTTGTTTCGTAAGTTAAGTGAAGATCTGTAGTCCAGAAGATGTGAAAGTTGGCTATATCGTCTAGTAAGTTCTTGTCTTTTTAATTTCGTATGTATGTTCCAAGTAAGTCTTTTGTCTAAGTAGAGTCCAAGGTACCGTACATAGTTCTTTGAAGGCACTGGATTATTGGCAATCGTTATGGGTGGACTTGAGGCTTTTCTAAAAGAGAAACTAACGTGGGTGGATTTATTACTATTTATTTTTATTTTCCAGTTCTCAAACCACTTTTCAAGATCATGAAGATTGTTTTGTAGGGCAATTGATGCGATAGTAGGATTTTTGTGTGAAGTTAGAATAGCAGTGTCGTCAGCGAAGCAATAAATGGTGGTATGAGGGTGCTCAGGGATATCAGAAGTGTATACAGAATAAAGGGTTGGGCTTAAGACGCTACATTGTGGTTCGCCTTTGTGTTGGGGAAAGAAGGAAGAAACAAAAGAATCTACGGAAGTATAGAAAAATCTATTAAGAAAGTAGGATTGAAGAATTAAAAAATAAGTTGAAGGTAAGTGCGGTTTTAGTTTCCATAATAGGCCCTTGTGCCGGACACTATCAAATGCTTTCTCTATGTCGAGAAAGACGGCAGAGCAATATTCCTTTTTCTCGAAAGTCACAGAGATAGCATCCGATGGCACTGGTGCACAGTAGAGCACTAGCGGATCCAGGATATAATTTTTTTTTGGGGGGGGAGGCTTCAGCCCGAGAGTTTTTTTTCATATACATATAACGATAATTAATTTGAAAAAAAAAGAAAGAAATTAATTACCTATATGCAATGGTGTTTAAGTGGTTCTTGAAGTCCTATTAAATGTAACTAAACGAACAAGAATACTTTAAGAGATAGTTTTTAATATTTTTTTCTGTAAAACGTGATTATATTTTACCATTTTGGGGGAGAGGGCTTCAGCCCGAAAGGCCCCCCCCCCCGTAGATCCGCCTGTGCAGTAGAGTGATAACAGTGAAAGCCAAACTGGTGATTTGGTATCACTTCAATATTTTCTAGAATAGGCTTTAGGCGGTTTAGTAGTAGTTTTTCAAACATTTTCCCCATTATTGGAAGAAGTGCTATAGGACGATAGGATGAAGGAGAAGTGGTAGGTTTTGAAGGTTTGGGAATCATTTTGATTGTGGAGAGTTTCCAAAGGAGAGGAAAATAGGTAGTGCGTAAAATGGAGTTATAGATGTGTGTAAGAAAGAAAACAGCTTTTCGAGGTAAGTGTCGAAGAATAAAGGGAGTGATTAGATCATAGTCAGGAGGTTTTTGTTTGGTAGTCTGTTGATTTCTTTGTAAATTTCTTTTGGATGAAATGCCGGTGGGGGTAGTGATCAGGGTAGTGGTGTTGTCAATTCTTCTTCTATTGTGTTAGTAAGATTATTGTCTTGTATTGTGTTAGTCCCAAATAGTTGTGCAAGATATTTAGCGAATTCTTTGGCTTTTTCTTCGCTTGTTATTGCCCAGGTGTTGTCTGTACGTCGGAGAGAGTATTGAAGGTCTTTTTTCTTTAGTATACGTCTTGTTGTTGTCCATATTGATCCATTCATATTATTTATTGTGTCTATATAGTCTTTATAGTTGTCGTTTTTAAATTTTAATAGTTTTTCGTTTAGTTTCCGAGTTAGTTTGCTGAGTTCTGTTTTGTATGATGGATATCTAGTTCTTGGCCATAGGGCTCTAATCCTACGTTTTTCTTTCATAAGATTATGTATTGGCTGAGGTAGGTAAGAAGCTGGTTTAGTGTATGTCTTTGGTGGTCTCGTTGAATGCCAAATAGCCTCTTGTATATTTTTTGTTAGGTCGTTGACTGCATTGTCGAGGTCGTCAGCTGTACTAATTAAAGTGTTTAACGTAATTTTGTTGTTCAAAAAATGTTTAAAGACATCCCAGTTTATGTATCCGTTAATTAGTGTCGGAGGTTTAGGTATAACGAAAGGGTTGTTCGAAAGTTCAAGTAAAATTGGGCTATGATCAGATGAAAGGTCAAGGAGAGAGGAAACGTTAGAATGTGCATGTGGTAAGGAGCTTGTGACAAAGAAATCAAGAAGATCGGGAGACTTTGATAGTGAAGTAGGCTAGTAAGTTGGTTGAGAAGGCGAAATTACAGAAAATTTCAAATCAAGAAGTAGTCTTCGATACATTGTTGTAGTCTTTTTCCACGCGTATTGGACACTCTAGAGCCCCACCTAGTGTTTTTAGCGTTAAAATCTCCTACTACAATGAATGATTTTCCCATTGTCGAGAAAAAAGTCTAATTCATTCGTGGATATAACTTTATTGGGAGCTATATAGACTGAGGCAATCGTGAGTTGGAATTTTGAGGAGTTCAGGGAAATATTGGTGTATTGTAGGGAATTCGTAGAAACAGCAGGAAGAATATGGTGATTTAAGGATTTGTCCACAATAATTGCAGTTCCTCCATGCACGGGCGGATCTACGGGAGGGAGCTTTCGGGCTGAAGCCCTCCCCCCCCCAAAATGGTAAAATATAACCACGTTTTATCAAAAAAAATATTAAAAAAGTATCTTTTAAAGTATTATTGTTCGTGTAATTAGATTTAAAAGGGCTTTAGGAATCACTTAAATACCATTTCATATAGGTTGTTAGTTTCTTCCTTTTTTTCCAAAGTAATTATCGTTATTTTTATGAAAAAAAAAACTTTCGGGCTGAAGCCCCCACCAAAAATAAATCCTGGACCATTGCAGTTCTGCTTACCAAGGAGTATTCTAAGATAAGGTGATTTCGAGTTAGTCATTGGAAGGATTTGAAATGAAAGTAGAAACTAGTTTAGTTAGAAGTTCTAGAATAGGGGATAGAAGGGATTTAAGTTCAGTTAGAAGAGGTTCCATAGAAGATTTTATAGCTAAAGAAAAATCAAAAGCTGAAGAAGGAGGTTGGATAGAAGCTGCAAAAGGATATCTCCCTGTTACCTTAGCACAGGAGACCCCTGTCACGGTAGATGGTTTATCACTACTCTGCGGTGTTAGATCTTTCTCTTCTAATTTTTTAACTGATTTAACGTGTTCTTTATTTGTTTCTATTGATATTAATTAGAGAGGGGACCTATCTCTAAATCTGATCCAGAAGTTATATGGTTGACAAATGGTTTCTTTTTTAGATATATTAGTTTTTTTAATGTAGCGTATCCTTTGTAATTGGCAGGGTGAGCACCTTCGCAGTTAGCGGTGGCTTTTGCGTTTCTCTAGGTTTTGTTCAGTTTGCTGTGAGGTGTGGTCCAGCGCACTTCACACATTTGGCGGGAAGACTACAGTACCCTTTTGTGTGGCCATAGGTTTGACATCTTTGACACTGTGGCGGTTCCTTTCTTAAGTATGGTTCCTCTACTTTTATTTTAGTATATAATAAAAATTCTAGATTAAAAATATCTTGATTTGTTGGACTTTGTTCCAAATCTATAAAAAATATCGGTAGTGACACTTTTGTTGTAGGGTGTTTTGCGTTACTAATATTTTTAACACTGTATCCTAGTTCTTCGAGTTCGAATTTGATATCTTCAATTTCTGTAGTGTGATGGAGATTTCGGATGACAATACGAAATGTTTTTTCATTCTGAAGTTGGTATGTGTAGAATGTTTCATTTTGTGCTCGATAATCATCTGGAGTAGATGGAAATATTTTTGTCTCATTTGTGTTAGAAAGACAATAAAATCCGCGAGGTCCGACTTCTGTTGATAAATTTTTACATAATTCTTTGAAGTTTTTAACTGATTTTAAATTAACAGAGGGGGGTTTAGGAATATTGTTAGTTGACAATTTGTCCTGAGTGTTAGACGACATAGGAACGGGTTGAGATGCGATTTGTTTGAGTGAAGACAACATTAACAAATAACATTTGTTGTTTTTGTGATAGACGATAAGTTACATTTCTGGTTAGTCCCTCTACGACGAGTAGACGCTTCTGTTTTGTCCTGCTAAGAAAAGTTTATGAAGGCAGGAGTTCGTTTTCTATTAGTTACAACTTTAAGTTTTGAGTTTTTGTCATCCTGCAAGTCTAAATGTGACTCGCTATTTGAGGGATGAACTTTTTTATACCAAGTAGTTAGTTCATTTCTTACTAACCTGACAAAAAATTACTAACCTTCTTTTTTCGAAGAGGGAGTATTTCTTTCCGGATCAACTTTTTAAAGTTTTCCTGTTTGTTTTCCGGTACTTCTTGCCTTCAATATTTTCGTTTAGAAATCGATCGATATCGATATTGAATTTTTAAAGTTATTTACTTTTTCAATCGATCATATGGTTGTTATTTTTTAAAAACATAGTAAGCGAAGGTAGAATTAGAAAAATCTTAGATCATAAACAATTACACTAGCATCATATACAAAACATCTATTCCATTTTTTCCTCTTATCCCTTAGTATGAAACATTTCATTCCGAAAATTCACAACCCCGCCGAAAAATTCAAAAATATGCCAAAATATGCCTCCCGCAGAAATTTTGTGAACCCTGATCACTACAGTGTATGTATTTAGGAAAGTATCTGGGTCACTTCTCAAACGATTACAACAGCATAAAATAGAAAGAAGAGCTTCATTCATATAATTCATAAACAGAGAAATGATAATGGCAAAAAGAGTAATAAGTGCTTTTTTCAGACGTTTCTTAAACTAAAATATGACTATGTTCTGAAAATTGTCGTTAAAAAAAATTCCTTACAAAACATTTACGTTGAAATTATGAGAAATGAACTTTCTTCAAATGTATATGAATAGAGATGTAGATATAGACAAATTTATCAGTCAGTAGTAATCAGAAGCGCTGTCAACGGTTTTTGAATTGCTTTCATTTGTTTGCTTGTGGGAGAATGAATATATAAGATGTTATGGGAGGCTAATGATAAAAATTAAATATGAGAATAAATCGGTCGTAGGTCCATATGTATAAACTTACTCAGTACAAAGTAAACGCTTGATATAAAAGAACCCAGTAGTTAATTGCTGCTTAAATTCATCTCTATCTTTAGGAGTAAGAGAGGAAACAATATTGTTTAAATAATTAAGAACAACATACTTAAGCCCTCTTTTATAGGTGTTAGGAAACGACTTTGATGAATGGTGGGGAGTAGCTCATTGAGTTAGGTATTGTGTGTTTCTCTCTCCTGGCTTGGAGTATAGTTGTGGCAAACAATTATTTATTCTGTTACATCAGCCGTGGATCGACCCTGGTGTAAAGACATCTACTAGCCTCTATAAAATAACTATCCATTTTTTTTTTTTTTTCATTTTTACACACATTACAGAGCATGTAGATCTTTGGCCGTGTTGTGTAGTCTTCCTATTGCTTACGGAAGCATAGATAGCGAGGATAGGGTCATCTAACTTCACGTTGTTTAGGACCATAACCTTCATGGTGGAGTGATTGGCCACCTATAACTCCATATTGGATCCCTTTGAAGCCAATCTAAGAGTATTCTACCCACCGAATTTTGTGAAAAATGACTGTGAAAAATCGGTCTAAAACCATAGATTATGGCTGCTCAGGGTCAGCAAGCGCACGAGGACCTATAATTCTTAATCAGAAACAGACCGTCCATGGACCTAAACTGAAGGGACTACTGACATCATGAAGAACCACATCACAATTCCTGATTAAAGTACACTGAGCACGGTCATCACTCCAATGCCCGACCTGAAGAAACCAGAAGTAACCTGGACGGCTACAATCCTTGAATGATCTTAGGTTTAGTACTTAATTAGGTAGAAATTACTGGTACTTGCCTAGTGGCTGCACAGGTGGATCTACGGGGAGAGGGGAGCCTTTGGGATGAAACCTCCCCCCTCCAAAAAATGGTAAAATAAAACCATATTTTATGGAAAAAAATTATCTCTTAAAGTATTATTGTTCATATAATTACATTTAAAATTAGTTTTTTTTTTCCAAAGTAATTATCGTTATTTTTATGAAAAAAAAGTTTTCGTACTGAAGCCCCCCTCCCTCAAAATTTAATCCTGGATCCGCTTGTGAGTGGCTGTACGAGGTGATCAGTATCTAAGCTCAACCCTGTGAAGGGTTGGGTATCTACTTTACGAGGCGGTGTATGTCCCTAAAAAGATCTTCCGATCTCAGAATCTATTCATGGATTGATGTAATCGAGACGGACTGATAGCGGTATTCGGAAGTAAAGTCAATGCCTTGTCTATTGAGCTACCCCATTCCATTTAGGTATTTTATCGTGGCCATCCCTAAGTTTCATATGATGGAATTGAATGCTATAGCTCATTTATTTCAAAGCATAGGCATAAATGATGTACGATTTATGACAATCCATTTCAAAGCTCATTTCTATTTATTCATTCGTAAATATTGCCATGTTATAGTTAATAAAATGACCTAATAATTGTAAATAAGTTAAATCGAGTCAGTGTTATAAAAGCACAAATATTTTCATCTCGTTCTTGGCCTGATCTGAAATAACGTTTTTCTAGGTTTTAGTTCGTGGATGTTTAAAGGAGCATTAAAGCGTAGCATGGAGGGTATTGAATCGTGTTGCAACCTTTGGCATAATAGTCATATGCCCCGTCTGAAGAGTTATCCAAGAGGCAAACAGTCGCGGCCCCTTATGTAAGAACCATGACAGTTCTGATGCAACCCGTCTTGGGGTTCAATCTCGCTCGTTGCCTCTCGTTATGAATCTAGAGGTCTTGTTCGTTTGTAAAAAGTTTCAAAACCACTTCAATTCAAATATATACCTATAACAGCTGTGAGAAATAACAAATTATGTTGCAAGACAATAGTAGAAATATACCTTTTTTTTTTCTTAGGTCGGTAATTCGAAGCGTCTCGATTCCGAATTAGGTTATCTAAGAGGGAACTTATACGGTACATAAAAAAAAAAAATGCTCAAAATTACCACTAAAACCATGGAAATCGATAAATCTTCCGCGCTTAGTGTTTCAAATTTGACTGTTCGTGTCTGTATTAATGCTATAATTAAAGTGTATTTTTTTCTCATTGTGCAACGAGAAATGTATTTTATTGTTATTTGACTCAATGAATAAAATTTTAGTATTACACCCTAAATTATTATTGTTTTTAAAACTTTTTTAAAAATAAATGCCGGAGATAAACGTATTTTTAATTTAGTCTTACGTGCTTTTACACATCATCGAGCACCATAATTAAGATACTTACAGTATATTAACGTTATACATTAGTATTAATTAGAAGAAAAAATAGTACAATATATTATGTTACATTATTTTTACTCACACGTGTGTTTGCGTTGTCTGCTAAAAGGTATATAAGGTTTTTTTAATGAATTGCTACTTAAATAATTAAGCTGCAACCAGCTTCACCTTCAGTTTTATTTCATTGAGTTATCCAAACGTTTCGGCCAACATAGCATCTTCAGATATGATCTGTAATGTAATCACAAATCTATTTTAGATTCTCTCAATTATTAAAATGCATTGCCTGTACGTGTCCTTCATTACTACATAAAATCTCTTTGTTAATAGTTGCCAGACTGAAAAGGAGTGAAGTATTATGACAAAAATAACTGTCAATGTGAAATTAGTTTTCAATTTGTCAACAACAAACAATGACATTTTATAAATGAAGGATATATGTAACTAATGCATTTTAATAATTGATAGAAACTGAAATATCTTTATGATTGTATTTTATAAATGGCCAAGAGACCTACTACATCAATAAAAACCAAATCAAGACAATAAAAACACAACAAATTTGCTAGATGCGCAGGTGCAAATTGCATAAAATAAAATATAAATATAAATTGTTATGATTGTATTACAGTCCATACCTTAGGATGGCAAGTTCTTCAAAACGTAATATGATTTAATACAATAGAATTTAGTAAAATTGATGGTGAATATGGTTGCGGCCTTCATTTATTCACTAATTAATACTTCACTTTAAACTTTGTTCAGGACAAAACTTCATTACAATGTCTATGTTGGATTAAAATCCCACCATTATTTTTAATCAAATTCCACAATTTTAGAGTGGTTTCAATAGTTGGAACAATATTTCGAGGGACTAAAAAAAAAATCTCTTGCTTATCGTGTGTTAACACTTTAGAAATATATTTTTGTTTTCTATTAAAATAACTTTGCATGAATACCAATTTCTTAACTTCAAATAAATTGGTTTTGATTTTCAATTTTAAGTAAAATATTTTACTAATAATAACTTTTAAGGTTTCCAAATATTGGGGGAGGGATCTTGCCCCAGCCCTCTGGATCAGCGTTCCTGGTTGGCGACTGTCATTATTTTAAGATGAATAACTATCGTGGATTGATACCTTTTTTTGAAAAAAACTTAAAACATAACAGTGTATTCACAAAAACAAAATCCTCGGCAGGTCGGTAGGTCTGTGTGTCAGTTCGCGACCTTGGCCTTCCGCTCGGTGAGGTAACGTTAGGAATCGCGTAACAGCCATTCCTCTTTCCTTTATCCTGCCTCTTTTAGTCCTTCCAGAAAACATTATAATTTGATTGTTTTAGGGTGAGGGTCATAGTGAAGAAACAACTTTACCATTTCGACGCGGAATAAATTTTAAATAAAATAGTAACAAATAAAACAACAAGTATTTTGCAATAATTAGTCTCTAACATTGCATCCTTTGCATTCCAAGGGATTCTATCTTTCCAATTAACCTGATATGATTTCCTCATCCTTAGAGGCTTAGAAAAAATATTTTATTTTTATTTTTTATAATTATAACCCTTGAAGGTACTTTAAAGTATGAGCAAGCTCTCAAACCGTCTTCCATGTGTGTGCCATTTGAGAGTCTCCTGTATATAGCCGTAGCCAGGATCATTAATATCCTATCTTGACGTAAATCGTAAAAAAAAAAAAAAATGTTCTTTTTTTGAAATATAAATCTCGAAATGGGAGAATGACCAATAATGGAACTGTGTTTTCATTAAGACCTCTATTAAAAAAATTGATCTGTAAAGTAAAAATAAAGAAATTTGCTCGATTGTTTCAATTATTTTCATAAAGACGTAATTATTAGGACTTGAAACATTTATATAGTCACTTATAATTTAGGACCAATTCCAATAATAGAGATCTTGACTGAGAGACTGAACGCTTATTAAACAAGGAAGTTTTCCTAAATTGGGGTATCTGTAGGTATAGTTGGAGGGCGTTTAATCAAAATCGGGAATAATTCATGATTTGTTTAAAAACAAAACTTAGCTTAGGTCATTTACTCAAAGGCCCACTTTGACGGGTTTTATCAATGA